TTGCTTGGCCTTGTACCCAACGTCATCGCCACCCAGCTCCAACACGCGCATCCGCGGATGCTTGTGGCCAGCGAGATCGACAAGGGCTGCAATGACGGCGATGCTTTCATCGTCCCGCAAGTCACTGTCCAGGGGCTGCTGGTCCACAAAGGCAGCAACGTACTCCTGCAACTGGCGCTCGATGCCGGGGTGCAGACGTGCAACATCTGGTTTCCAGTGCACCCGAAGCGTGGGCTGGCGCTGCATATATTTGTCAATGGGGTTGGTGTTTTTACCGTCAGAGGATGACTGCACTGCCGACGACTTGCCCGTATACAACGACATGCGCGCATCTCGCAGGTTGACAACAGGGACACCGTGGGGATCGCGCAGGGTCGCATCGATTCTGCGGCTCGAGAAACCCACTTCTTCGGACCGGGCGTGGATTACGGCCTCGAGCTCGGGGCTCGTTGCTAGGGAAGAAGGCTGGATCCTGCATTCGGAGATGAACACGGGCATCCACGCCCGGAGCGATGGCAAGTGTCCTGCAGTGCCTCCCAAAATGGCCGCTTGGAAGCATGCATCAATGGTGATGGGGTGGACGGGGTAGGAGTCGATGTAACTCTTTGAGGAAATTTCAGGTGCCAACCGTAGCGACGCAATGGCTTCGCTTCGGGTCCGTTCCGAATCAGTGCGAAGGCTTGTTAGTGACTGGAAGTATGGGCCGAAGCAAAGTCCTTCATCGTCCCACTTCTGATACCACCGGTTCGTTGGCGATGCCTCAAAACTCTGGTCATTGTCAACCGTTGTCGTTGTCACATGCTTGACGGACTCGGTCAGAGGCTCTACCACGCGGATACTTCCTGCGCAGTGGATGGTGGTCTCACCGGCAGCCCACGAGGACACCGCAAAGTCATGCCAGTCAGCCGATGTGTTCACTGTGGACAGTTTGCGCAGTGACATTGTGGTGTGCAGCTCCAGGTCCTTGGCCGCCGGGTCGCTGTCAGGGGGTACAATCAGAGCAGCTGTAATGTTGACATTGCGGAACTCAAAAGCAACGTCCAATCTGCCCCTTGTCTCTGTGACTTGTGAAACGGCCTCAATGGCGACTGCAAGGTATCCAGCGGCGGGGAAAACAACCGATGTCTCGAGCTTGTGGTCAGAAAACCATGGCATCTCCTTAGGGCGAATCAAGTTGCGCCATGTAAAGTCGATGCCGTTCCCTGTGAGGGCGAATGTGCCCAGAAGCTCATGGCGCAGATACTTGCGGTTGCGAAGCTCGACACTAGTCCGCGGCTCGGCCCAATTCAATGGCGCTGAGTAGTCCCATGGGTAAGGGGCCAGGTCATGCAGCGGTACGAGCTCATGCCCAGACTCAGGAAGATCGTTTATCTTGTTCCAGTCGAGTACGTGGCCGTGCACGAAAAGTGTACCCGCAAGCTTCTTGAGGCATTCATCTGCGTCTTCCTTCCGGACCAATGACGGCGCATAGGGCAGGGAGTTCTTGTCAAGCCCGATGGAAGTCCGGATCTGTTGAATGGGTCCCTTGAGAGCCGAGTGTGGGCCTACCTCAATCAGGTGAAGCTTGCTGCCCTCCTTCTCGGCCAGGCTAGCAAGAGCACCGCTGAACTGCACGGGCTGTTCGAGATTCTGGCGCCAATAAGCGGCCCAGTCTGTGTGGCCTTCCAAGACACGGAGATCGTCAGTGCTGTGGCCTACCGAGGAATACATCCTTGCTGCTGCTGGTACCTCCGAGTTTGCAACCGCGAACAATGGCGTGAGCAGATCTTGGTACAAGGCTCCAATCTCCTTCATCATGTGGGAGTGGTAGGCGCGGCCACCCGTCTCCAGCTTGCGCGCAAACTTCTTCTGGTCCTGGAATTCAGCTCTCAGTGCCTCAATGCCGTCGGAAGCACCGCTCAGCGTCACACTCTCGGGGGCATTGACACATGCGACGCGGACATTCTCCTGTAGATCCTTGGCCTCAATGAGAGACTTGGCTGTTTGGGCACTAACACCTGCGGCCATCATCGTCCCTTGGGACTGCAATTTCCCAACACTGTAGCCCCGGAAGTATGCAACAAGGATGGCTTGTGTCGAGTTCAAGAGGCCGGCGGCGTAGGCAGCCGCGATTTCACCTGACGAGTGGCCAACAACCGCTGTCGGGCTAACTCCCCAGCTGCGCAGCAAGTCGACAAGACCAACCTGCAACGCCGTGCAGATCGGTTGGCTGCGTGTGACCTCATTGATGCGGCTTTCACTTGGGCCGTCCAGGAGGGTCTGTTCTAGCGTCCAGTCTGGTGCATAAGGGTCTGGCAGTGCCTTCAGGACGTCGTCAAGCCGGTGGATCGTGTTCCGGAATTGTCGGTTGTGGGCTAGAAGTTCCTTGGCCATGCCGGCGTATTGCGCACCCTGACCTGTGAAGACGAAGCCGAAAGGTAGCCCTTCACGATCGCTGCTATTATTCGCGTCTTCCACGGCTTCCACCAACTTACCGCTGCCCTCATATTTGGCGAGGAGGAAGCTCTTGTGTCGCAGGTGGTCTCTCCGATTAGTGAGTGTGTAGGCCAAGCCCTGGAGATTCTCGGCATCAAATAATTTCGATACAGCCTGGGAGATATCTTGTACGCGTATATCGAGCGACTTGGACGATGCCGCGCTGACGGGAAGGACGACTACCTGGTCGCTATTTTCGATCCGCCTCTTCTGCGTCACCAGTCTACCAGGGAAGTACTGACTCAGATAGCTGTCTGCCGACTCAAGGATAACGTGCGCATTTGCTCCTAGTAATTGTCAGCATGTTGTCCTGTATACTGGTAACATTATCTCACCTCCGTAACCAAACGAGTTCACCGAAGCACGTCGCAGTGCTCGGGGCCATTGATCAGCCTGTGTAACGACCTTGAGGTTACGCTGCTCCAGAATTGGAATGACTTATAGATTGAAAGAGCCGTCAGCTTAAGCGTGGCTATAGATCCGATATTAGAGGAAAAACTCACGCTTGGGGTTCAGTTTCACCAATCCATGCGTTGGTGGAATCTGGCCCTTCTCGAAAGCTGTCACCACCTTCAAAACAGATGAGAGACCGCTGGCTGCTTCACTGTGTCCGATGTTTGTTTTGACCTGTTGCAGTTAGATAATGGTCGAAACTTCTTTATTAGGTTCGTTACTGACCGATCCGATAAGAAGCGGTGCTTGTCCCTGCGGTCGAAAGAAGCATCGGCCAACAGCGTCCACCTCGATGGGGTCCCCAACCGGAGTACCGGTTCCATGGCACTCGACATAGTCCGTCTCCGCGAAATCCAAGCCAGCGTTTTGGTAAGCCTTGCGCATAACAGCCTCTTGCAGGTTGCCGCTTGGCAGCGCAATACCGGGCGTCCTGCCATTACTGGAGATTCTTTTTAGCGTACTTTCTAGTTAGTTTGAGGGCAGTGACTACTCACGCATTAACAGCACTTCCTCGGACAATGGCCCGGATCTGGTTGCCATCTCGGAGCGCAGCGGATAGTCGCTTCACGTAGATAGCGTTGACACCTTCAGCTCGACCATAGCCGTCCGCCGAGGCATCGAATGTGTGGCATGTCCCCGTGGGCGAGAGCACTCCACTCTTGGCAGCACCTATGTGCAATTCAGGCGACATGATCAGGTTCGCACTGGCTACGACCGCACTCTCGCAGTCCCCTACCTTGATAGCCGTCAAAGCCTGGTGGAGGGCGTAGACGGATGACGAACAGGCCGTATCTAGTGTGAAGCTGTAATCCGGTGTAAGCATGATCATCAGACAAAAGAGAAAGAGTTCATTTTTACCTAGGACCATGTAGGTTGAAAACATGGCTGATTCGATTCGACATAATAGTCGCGCCTGAACCGGTCGATGTATAACGGTGTAGGTAGTCGGCATCACGCGTCTGCATAGGCTGGTAGTCGACTGAGAAGTTACCGACATACACACCTGTGTTGGAGCCCGACATGCTCTTCATCGATGCTCCAGTGCTTTCAAAGCATTCAAAGACAACCTCAAGCAGCTTGCGCTGTTGTGGATCCATGTACGTGGCTTCGAGGTTGTTGATGCCGAAGAAGCCATTGTCAAACTGTCGAATGTCTTCATTGATAAAATAACCCCCAGGAACGTTGATACCACCGCTCCGATTGCCATCTGGGTGGTAATAGCCATCTACATTGTAGCGGATGGGGGGTGTTGGGCCTTGGCCCGTCTTCTGGTTGATGACCAAGTCCCAGAGTTGTGAAGGCGATCGAACATCTCCAGGAAGGCGGCATGCTGTGCATTTTTAGTTAGGTCTGTAAACTAATTGTGATAGAGAAGCTCAATCATACCCATTCCCACGATGCATGGCGGGTCATCATTCATCGACTCCAAGCCGACAACGCCGCTCTCTGAATCGGTGTACGCTATTGGGCTGCCATCTCCACTGCTCGTAGTATTGGACAAGCCCACGATAACGGGTTCAGAGTCAGGCATGGTTTTGGGTATCACTCTAATAGGCGCTCTGGCTCCGAGAAATGGACTGAAGCCCTGTCGAGGTCGAGGGTATCATCTGGCCCTCGAGTCTTTATTAGGGGTGTATGACCAGAATTTCTCGGGCTAGTTTGCTTATGAGAAGTACTCCGAAGCTTTGCCACCGGGAAGCTAAGAGGCTTCCCATATCGCATAGGAAGAATTACGAACTCGCCCGCGCATACAATCTCACAAAGCGAAAACCCGGACTGCTTCACAACATGGCCGGACTCAAGACAAATTCGCAAGGCTCGGTCATACCCTTTACCCGAGAATGGTAAGGCAATCGCTTCGGCCAACTCAGCCATCTTGGAAGCTCGAAGCATGTATTTCGATCCATCTTGTTTTGTTGTCATGATACCGATGCATCAATTCCCGAGGCCGGGGACTCGGGAACACTGACGGGCATGGACACTGCAGCCGGCTCGGGGAACCAACGTGTGCTTCATAAATCAAGTGCAGCTATGGTAAACCACACAATTCCTAGCCAAAGACATCTACTAAAATGGACATTACCGGAAACGCCTTTGTCGTCGGCGGAGGTAGGTGTTGGCACCCCAGATAATCGCCAATACTTACCGAATTAACAGGGGGCGGAATCGGCAAGGCCTGCGCGCTGGCCTTTGCCACAGAAGGCGCTACTGTAGTCGCGGTTGCAGACCTCGATGCAAAAAAGGCGGTCGAGGTTGCCGCCGAGTGCCAGGCGTTGGCGCCTTCGGCTGAATTTCGAGCTATCGGAGTACAGATCGACATCACGCAGGAGGACTCGGTCAGGTCCGCAACTGAGCAGGTGGTACAGTTACTTGGTCGCATAGATTATTGCGTGAACTGCGCTGGGGTGTGTTGAGTCTCCTCCGGTCTGGTTTCTAATACTGATACTTGTTTGCAGATTGGAGTTCAACAAGGGGCTGACATTGCAACGTTGCCATTGGCTGAATTCAGGCGTTTTCTCGACGTCAATACAATTGGCATGTTCCTGGTAACTCGAGAAGTGTCTGCAGCTATGCGTGCCCAGGAGCCCAGACTGGTCTCGTCCGAGTCGCCTAGACGGGGAACCACACGCGGCGCAATTGTTAATCTCGCGTCAGTCCTGTCTGTTGTTGCGGCGCCCGGGATTATCCCCTATACAGCATCCAAGCATGCAGTCTTGGGCCTGACAAAGAATGCAGCCTTGGACAATGTGTCGCATGGTATTCGGGTAAACTGTGTCTGTCCTTCATGGGTCGACACTCCCATGGTACAACAGGCAGAGGAGGGCGTTCAGGGTCTTACACAATTCATCAAATCTGTAGTGCCTATGGGTCGCATCGCTGTCCCAGAAGAAATTGCCGACGCTGTCATCTTCTTGGCCAGCCCCAGATCCAGTTATGTGACTGGCTCTGGTTTCATCGTGGACGGCGGCACCACGCTCACTGCTATGAGGTAGAACAATTACCTCAATTCTATGCACGTTCTTTGTCTGATCCACATTTGCTGTTCCGTAATGCGTATCGGTAATGGCTCACGTTAGAGTCCCGAAGACTTTCCCGAGAATCTCAAGAGCCCTTCGGGCATGCATGGTTGTTGTCCAGGAGGGGCTCTCTGACTCGAGTCGGCACATATTTAATTATCCATGAGACGTCCATTTTGTACCTAAATTCACACCTCTTCATCTGTATCCCATTCCTGACGTGACACACAAGCAAAATGGCCGAACAAACCGAGACCTCTACTGCTGGTTACAACTATGTCAGCTACGGCACGGAGCAGCACCCTATCGCTGGTCTCTCCCGTGTCGTGCGCCACATCACAGGCCATGATTCGGAGGGTCGATCCGTGTTTTTGTCTACCGACATCGGTGACCACCACCGCACATTGGGCGAGAAGCAAGCAATTTCCAACATCATCTACTCGACCAATCAAACTCCCGTGGAGCTAAACGGTAACCACGATATTGAGTTCGCCAGAAACACTGAGGTTAGTTTTCCTTTATCCATGGTCTGGGACGTGACACTGACAGCTTTCAGCCCGGTCTCCACGTCAAAGACGGCTCAGTCGCACGCCTGATCGACTTCGCTCCGGGTGTTGAATCCCCGCTGCACCGCGCCGTTAGCCTCGACTACGGTGTCGTCATCGAGGGCGTGTTCAAGATGGTCCTGGACTCAGGCGAGGAGCGCATCATGCGTCCTGGCGACATCAGCGTTCAACGCGCCACGGCTCACAAGTGGATCAACGTCACCGGCAATGGCACTCTCCCCGGTCGTATGCTCTTTGTTCTGCTCGATTGCAATGATGTGTATGTGAATGGCAAGAAGATGGAGGGTTATCTGGGAACCCTTGCCAAGGACTATGAAGGACGTAGTAGTTAGATAAACTAGTGCATTGTACCTAGGGCTCATATAAATATAACATCCCTTTCAAGACTGCTCGTGATATATATAGATATATTTCAAGGCTGGATTGCCGTAGAGTTTGGTCAGATATTGGACTTCCTAATTCACGGATACTGTTACATGACTGCCATGTGAGTAAGCCACCACGCGATTCTGTCTGGCCTTTATCAGCCCAGCAAATCGATTGCTCATTGCCCCTCGTCTTCATTCATTTTGCGTTATTATATTTGTATTCCCATGTCTAGCTTCTTGTGGAAAGTCATATCTTCAGTGACACGGTCTACAGTGACACAGTTGACTAGCAATGGATGCCATCTAAGCGTCTGATAATCACACTGTTATCTACCATTCTACCCTATATTTCCATGGTAATTCACACTTGTTTCTTGGCTTTCGAGGAGTGAGCCTCTTTCAGCTTTCCCAAATCAAACATCCTCCAAAATAGGGAGTCCTGGACACGTTAGCCGCGGCATGTCTCACCGGGGCAAGAATGAAAATAACTACTTACCCAAACTGTGCGCCAGCAAAACATATCGAGAAAGCGAATAAGAGTGGACTGGCTACCGTACCAGAACCACGCCGAAGGGGATGATCTTAAACTTTCCGCGACGACATTTGCGGCATATTGGAATCGATCCGTGGTTCTGGCTGCGATGTTTTTAGTTTCAATACCCAGGTTCCACCTGGCAATGAGGTTCTTACGTGGAGTTCTTGTGACGTGCTGCCGGAAATTCTCCGCAAGAGGAGAATAGTACGATCCTTGATTATTGAGGTCAGAACGTTCACATCGAATGGAGTCAAAGAGGGAAGCGCACCTTCTGGTAGCCGTCTGTGTGCATCGTTCTTGAGAATGTTGGTGGCGACCTCTCCCGATATAACCTTATGAGCAACATTTGGTTAGCCCGTGGCTGTGTTGTCACGAGAAATAAGACAAACACACTGTTATAACTCTGACACTTTATAATCTGTCAGCTTGTTGAATCCATGATTGTGCGCAGTTCTAAACTCTTACTCAAATGGGGCCATTTCAACACGTAAAGTGTTCGACCAGTGCTGAAGCGCTGCCTTGGTTGCGTTATACGATGCTATGTGATTGAGTCAGTTCCTCATAAGGGCTAATGAGATAGATAGACTTACATCCGTATAAGTACGGAACCACTCCTCCGATCGAACCAATATTCACAATTGCTCCGGTGGCTTTGATGATCATATCGTGAAAGTGGTGCACCATTCGCATAGGACCGAATACATTGACGTTGAACATGCGCTGTACGGCAGCGACGTCTGTGTCAATGGCCGTCATGGTGTACGCGATGCCGCTGCTCCAAATTTAGTAGACGGTTGGGGGGGAAAAGGAAAGAAAGAACACACGCGCAGTTGACGAGGACATCTAAACGCCCACCTGTAAGCTTCTGTACTCGAGCTTTCAACTCCAAGACAGACTCCTCGTTGGTAACGTCTAAAGGAAAGAAAGTAATTCCGGCTCGCGCGAGATGGTCGCTCGGCTCCGCAGGGAGCACAGTGGCAATAGCATGGATTCCACGACGAGCGTACTCAGTGATGAGGGCTTCGCCAATGCCACCCTGGCCGCATCTATATTACTTTGCTTTAGCATGGACAATGGAAATAAGGGGATTCTGGAAGTAATGGATAAGTACCCCGTGACAAGAGCAAATTTCGTAGACATTTTGACGGCCGTAGGTTATAGATTCATTGGTTCCTCGCTACATGTGATATTTCTACTCATATAATAGGCCGATACCAAATTGGCCGGGTATCTCTGCATTAAGCAAGACTCGGGAACACAAGACCAGGGTCGGGTATGCAGTCAGCTCCGCTAGTTTATCAATACGAAAGCCTATTCCCGAGCTGAAATTCCCTATTCTAATACGTCAGCGTAAGCAAGCGCCATACACCCATAAGACTTGTGCAGCTCTACAACCCTTCCATCTATGTTCAAACTTCAATTATCACAATGATAACGGCCTCATCAGCCATTTTACTAGTTGCACTCATTGCAGCTCTCTGGCGACTGAGCCTTATAGGCCAAAGACCCAAAGACTATCCCCCCGGACCACCAACTCTCCCCATCCTTGGCAACCTACACCAGATCCCAAAGGCGAGGCGTCATATACAATTCGAAAAATGGGCTCGTCAGTATGGTCCGGTATACTCGCTCATACTAGGGACGAAAGTCATGATTGTCCTAAACACGGAAGATGCTATCAGAGAGCTTGTGGATAAACGAGGTGCTATCTATGCGTCGAGGCCGGAGTCTTTCATTGCCCAGGACACTATCAGTGGAGGGCTTAGAATCTTGTGGATGGTATGTTAATGGATCCTTCTCTTCATTTTTTTCTGGGTTTTAACTGTCTTCGTTTTTCAGCACAATGGCGAAACCTGGAAAATGGTCCGGAAACTCGCGCACCGCATTCTCAACATCACCACTGCGCGCACTTACGTGCCATACCAGGATCTAGAGACAAAGCGGATGCTCGTTGACTTTCTAGAAAAGCCAGATAGTTTTATCGAGCATATGCGTCGGTTCTCAACTTCCTTAACAACACAGATGACTTTTGGCTTCCGTACAACTACCATCCATGATCCCAGATTTAAGGAGAGCTTTGATGTATGTACACTGCTCACATATTGCCGTGCTCTTTGATTGACTCCCTGCAGATTTTTGATGAAAGCTGGGAGTTGGTTGCCTCTCCGGTCAGTTTCGATAAATCTAACCATCTTTGGCACAGGCTAATTATGTTCAGGTTGCTGCGCTCATGGACTTCTTCCCTTTCCTCAGAAAGATCCCTGACTTCCTTCTTCCTGTCAAACGGGAAGCAAAGAAACTACACCAGAGAGAAATCACGCTATTTCGGGATCACTACTTCGAAACCCGGAGAAAATTACAGGACGGGACAGCGAAAGTATGCACCCCAGCAAAACTTCCCTTCCTTTCAAATACTCACCAGAAAACCACCACAGCCATGTGTCTGCGTCGACCTTATGAAACTCCAAAAAGAAGAGTCCTTCTCCGACAATCTCGCGGCCTACATCGGCGGCTCCCTCCTTCAAGCCGGCTCTGAGACGACAGCCGGTGTCCTCGTCGGCTTTATCCAAGCCATCACCATCTTCCCATCCGTTGCCAAAATAGCCCAAGAAGAAATTGACTATATCTGTGGAGACCGGCTGCCGGATCTAAATGACGTTCCCGACCTACCGTATGTCCGGGCTTGTACGAAAGAAACGCTACGGTGGATGCCGGGGTTTTTGCTGGGGTTGCCGCATGCTGCTACTCGTGATGATGTATATCTCGGGTATCGGATACCGAATAAAGCGACTATTCTTATGAATGTTTGGTATGTATATATTTATCCCTAGATACGGAATAACACGGCTAATTCCATGTCTCACAGGGCCGTCCACAACAACCCCGAGCAATACCCGAATCCCCGAACATTCGATCCTAGACGCTACATGGACCACGAATATTACCCGCAAACCGCCGCCAACACAGAAGTCACCCGAGACCATTTTGCCTTCGGCGCAGGACGCCGCAGGTGCCAGGGTATTCACATCGCAGAGCGGTCCCTCTTTTTAAGCATTTCTCGTCTGCTGTGGGCGTTCGATTTCAAGAGGGCTGTAGATCCGGTCACTAAGCTGGAGATTTTTCCCAGTATGGATGATCTTTCTGATGGTGCATTTACTCAGCCCAATACGTTTCCGGCGAGAATTGTTCCTAGGAGTGAGGAGAAGGCTCGGCGGGTGGGGGAGGAATGGGGGAAGGTGTTGGAGTTGCTTGATGGAGATATGCAGTGGAGGACCGTTCCTGAGGGGCTGATTTGGAGGGACTATGAGGCTGTTGCGTAGATTTGTCATTCTCATATGGTCATTGAGATTTATATATGCATCGATAGTGATGCATTGGCCTACCCTGCCGTTTTGCATGCCAACCGCCATAGATTAGAAATTTAGCGAAATGCTTCCCGTGTTTGTCTCATTTCAAAGGACATTAGACTTTTATTCATCAAATGTTCTCTCACTTCTCACTACCAAAACGCACATTCCCACAACAACAAGCTATATACGTAACATTACCCTGACCCCGGATACTCAGTAGGCAAAGCATTATTCCACCCAAAAACATTATCAGGATCATACTTCTTCTTCAACGCTGCCAAACGCGGCAACTTGCTGGCCCCGTATTTCTGCTCAAGAGTCTCGTCACCGCGCGCATAGTTAACGTAGATAGTATGATTATCGTAACCCGAGGTTCGCACCCAGCTGTCTCGGAGGACTTGACCGGCGTGCTCTCCAGCGTTGAAAGAGTCGCTGCCGACTCCCTCTAGGGAGATTATTTCAAATTGACTGTGTGTCTGTTTTAATGGCTTTCTTCCTTTGGGAGGATAATGTAGGTTTAGGAACACTTACAACCAACCAATAGCATCTCTCCAAGGATACGCAGTCGCGTCATCCGGAACGGCAACCGCGGCATGATTAGGAAATGCCTCGAAGTTAAGCGAGGTATATGCAAGCCCAGGATGAGTCTCCCAAAGTGTGGTTATCTTGTCAAATGTCTCTTGTAAAGTCAAGGCCGTGTATTTGCGCATCTGACCTGTGAACAAACTCCGGGGTGCTCTTGCCTCGCAAAGCATGGCGCCCTGTCCGCCACCAGCCGTCTCGATTAGCTTGTTCCACGGCACATATGAGAGCATGGCGACAGAGGGTTGGAGATCTAGGATGGGGCTTAGGAATTCGCGACCCTCGTCTTCTGGGCCAATGAATACCCAGTTTGCTCCGATTTGGCCCTTTCACAATTGTCAAACTATATATAACACTTGATAGGGACAAATTTTGCATTACCTCTTTAGCAATGCTGTCAAATTGGAATCGACTAACTCCAGCGGCATTAGGGGGCATCGTCTCGCCAAGCGATTCCAACCAGTCAAAGTAAAACAGAGTCTTATTGGCCGGAATAATAAAGTCAGCAGTCAATATTTCCCCGTTATTGTTATCAGCAAGCTTATGCAGCTTATACGTAGCTGAGGTAACAATGCCAAAGTTGAATCCAGCACCACGAACACCCCAGAATAATTCGGCATTCTCCGTTTCCGAAATAGTCAGAACTTCTCCATCCGCGGTAACGATACGAGCAGAAATCAAGGCATCAATTTCTAAACCGAAGATACCGGTATAACGCCCGATTCCGCCACCGAGGGTTATACCAATGAAGCCGGGACAGGTGACAGACCCGCTTTCTATTTCATATCAGTACCTGAAGTCATAGGAAGAGGAAACAAGCGTACGGATCATGAAGCCAGCATCATGAATAGCATTCTGGAATTGACCAAAGGTACTTCCAGCCCCAACTGTCACAGTTGCATCATCGCTATCAACTTCATACGAGTTAATCTGGCTCAAATCAATGGCAAGTCCCTCTTGAAGCCCGACCATATCGGTACAGCCATGGCGGCCACCCGTCGCAAGAAATGGAACATTGTGCTCTTTGGCAAGTTTGACCTATGTTTATGCATATTATTAACATTTGTTTACATTCAGGATATTCAATTGACTCCACGTACAACTTTGACCACATCCTCCTCGTCTGCCGGGCTAATAGCGCCCGCGTATGTCGGGGCGTTGTAACTATTCCATCTCACAGTAGCATCTTCAAATTCAGGGGTATCTGAGAAGCTAATGACCGTATCTGATGCCCATTGAATGTCGCTTTCCAAAAGCAAAGACTTGAGATCGACCGAAGCCGCGTGGGCTGTGAGCCATGAGCAGGCTAGGGCTGTCAAGATGTTCCTGCGCATTGCGGTTCGTCTGTCCCGTATAGTAAGGGCGATCGCAGCTATTTGCAAGCCATGACAGCTTTTGGAGGTTTTGTATGTGTACAACATCGGCATATCCGCATTAGGAAAGAAGGTGATGTGACAGCGATGATCGGTAATTCCGACGATACCCGAATACGGTATTATAGTTACAATACAGCGATCCCGAGCCCTAAAGTCCCTTCGATTATTCAACAAAACGACTGGGCTTGTAAATCCCATGTAAATTTCCAGTAAAAGCCTAGATCCATAGCTATCTATCTCAAATATACTCTTGCAGCAGTTCCATTTTTAGAGAAAAGAAAAAAACAATAAAAAAGTAAAGTGGCGACCGATCGGCAGACAAACAAAGAATCCCTGCATCCGCAGCATTCCATGTAAGCCAGTTGTTAAAGACCACGAAATCCCGCCTCGCTCGTACTCCACCACACCCTCACTCCTTCTACTTGTAATTTCAATATGGCCGTTACTTTTGACATCTCGCCTGAAAAAGAAGCAGGCGTCCTGCGCCTGTTCCACAGCCAATTGTTCGTCACGCCCCCTCCCCTCACCCGCCGCGATGTCGACCTAAGCGGTAAAACAGCCATCGTTACCGGCGCCAATGGCGGCTTGGGGTTGGAAACTGCGCACCAGCTTCTGGATTTAGGATGCAAGGTTATTCTTGCTGTGCGGAGGGTAGAGCGAGGTGAAGCCGCGCGTCAGAAGCTGCTTGAGGGCCGGGATGCACAAGCTACCGAGATCGAGGTGTGGCCTCTGGACCTCTCATCCTATGAGTCTGTTGTAGGATTTGCGGAGCGCGCGAAGACCCTGTCCCGGCTCGATATTGCGATCCTCAATGCTGGTCTCTACAAAGTCAATCAAACTATGACCGCCAGCACGGGCTACGAAGAAAGTATTCACGTCAACTATCTCGCCAATGCCCTCCTTATCACTCTGCTAGCGCCAATTTTCAAGAATAAAAAGACCGGAAACACTCCCGGACGAATCGTGCTGGTATCCTCAGACTTGGCGGCCTGGGCCAAGTTCAAGGAGAGAAAGTCCAATCCCATCCTTCCAACATTCAAGCAAAAAATGACCCCGAAGTGGGATTACCTCGAGCGCTATGGTACATCCAAGGTTCTTGGCCAATTCTTTGTAACAGAATTGGCGAAACGAGTGTCGCCGGATGCCGTCCTCGTCACGACCACCAACTGCGGTTTGTGTCATGGCTCGGAACTTTCGCGTGAGGGACAAGGCCATCTCATAGGCTATGTTTTTAATGTGGTTAGTCGTTTGTTTGGGCGTTCTTGCTCTGTTGGTGCCCGTGTATTCGTTCACGCGGCTGCAAATCCTGTCTTGGGTGCGAGCGTACATGGGCAGTATGTGGAGGATGCAAAGCTGAAACCGTAAGTCTTTCCTAAAATAGCCATTATAAGCTATGACATACTGACATTGAGACAGAATGTCACCATTGATATACAAGCCTGGAGATTTGCAGTTAGGTTCGAAACTGTGGGAAGAGACCATGGATGAGCTTTCATTTGCGGGAGCCAGGGAGATTATTGATAGCCTCACCAAGTAACTCTATTTTTCTTTAGCGCCAATATAACTTCCATAACCTAATACCAGGCAGTAGCTATTTCAGTGTTAGTCACGTGGTGTAAGCATGAAATGTTTGTACAACCCCAAATGCAATGTACGCAGGGGACAAATGCAAATTGCCGGTGTCGGGGTCAAATTTCAAATCCATAGCCTGCAGTTGAGGTCTCCTGTTACATCCCAGTCGTTCCCGCTGCAACCGCGAGTGCTGAATCCATTTCGAGTTCCCGACACCGCCGCCGAGTCCGTGTATCCCGGGCTACGCATCTTCATCTGGGCGAGGCGTAAGAGTCAGTTATGTAAGCGACTAGCTAACTTAACGAACAGGGGTACATGAATCTCGAACTGGGCGATTATGTACCATGTTTGAGGTACCGAGTTGCTATTCCCGACGCCCGATATTCCAATTGTCACCAGTTATTATACCAGATATGTTTCGGGAACTACTTGACGAGCTTCGACGACCGGGGAATATAGATGGCTCTAGTTGGAGCCGAGGCTCGGTCATCACCATAGTAAAGCTAGTACAAATACAATCAAGACCAATTGGGTCGTGCTCAGCTCGTAAGCAGTTATCTGTCAAAATGGCTTTACAAACGACCAATACATGGGAGACACTGGCGCAACTGTTGCCCTCGCGCAATCATGATCAGGACTTTTGGTGGAAGGTGACAGGGCGCCAGCTGGCTGTGTTGTTGGAGGCGGCCGGCTATCCTATTGAGAGACAGTACAACACTCTCTTGTTTCACTATCACTGGGCGGTATGAAGCTTCTTTTTTTTTTTTTTCCTTTCTTTCTTTTTTCTTTCTGCCCCTCATAATTTAGGCTAATTGCGTGCTGTTGCCAGATTCCATACCTGGGACCAGCTCCTGCAAGTGGTGTAGCCAAATGGCCGTCGCAGCTATCTGTTGACGGGTCTCCAATTGAGTATTCGTGGAAATGGAACACAAAGTCAAAGGCGCCTGATGTGCGGTATACCATGGAGCCTATGAGCGAGTTTACGGGCACAAAGTTGGACCCGCTTAACCAGCGCGCGTTCCGCGAGCTGCTGCACAAGCTTAGCCAGTTCGTGCCTGACGTCGATTTAGCACCGACTGATTACTTTATGTCTACCCTGTTCGATCATGACAGGTCAGTGCTGATGAAGGCGGTTGACGATGGCGTGCCGTTGCAGTTTTCTAGCACTGCTCTTGCATTCGAGTTTCTAGACAAGGGCCTTTTGCTCAAGACGTATTACGCGCCCCGCAAACTGGAGACAGGTCACTTTGTCCTGAAGGACTGGGACACGGCTATTCGCGGCTATTACCCCGAGAGCAAGGCGCTGGATATCGTGTATGAGTTCCTGAAGACAAGCCCCGAGGGCGAACTTATGAACCCGTACCATCTCGCCGTCGACAACGTCAAAGACGGACGGCTCAAATTCTATTTCCAGTCGCCTCACCGCACCTTTACTTCGGTCCGCGAGATCTTGACCATCGGCGGGCGTGTACAGCGCGAGGGCTTAGAAGAGCAACTCCTCTCCCTGCGCGATCTCCTCAACGCACTGACCGGCCAGTCTCCCGACTTCCCCGAAGACGGCGAGCCCCCGATCGTCGAGGAAGACGTCACCGCCGACTTAGACACAGACGGCCACCCGGAACTCATGTCCGGATATCTATACTACTTCGACATCGCCCCCGGCGCGGCCCTACCCGAGATCCGCTTCTACGTCCCCATCCGCCGGTACTGCAAGAGCGATCTGGACCTGGCGCAATCGCTCACGGCCTGGATGGCAGCGAACGGCCGTGGCACGTACTGCCAGCAGTACTTGGACCTAGTCCACAGTCTGGCCGAGCACCGTGAGATATCAAAGGATCGGGGGCTGCAGCGGTACATCGCTTGCCTGTTGGCAAAGAATGGGGAGATTGAGGTGACGACGTATTTGGCACCAGAGACGTATGAGCAGGTCAGGCGTTCGCAGAAAACTGCGGTATAAATATGGATTATGGGAAATGTGATGTGGAATATAATATATATCGTTTAGTATACCTCTAGATATATTACGCGATATTTTATTGCTAGTTACAAACTTGTCCTCCCGTGTCCCCTGTTTTAAATTTAACTAGGGATCCTGCCTGTATATTCATCAGCAGCAGGGAACAGCCTCTTGACGCCTTCGGCTTTCTTCTCCAGCCACAGGTGAATATATTCGCACGCCATGATGAACGTGGGGTTGCAAGACCCGCCTCTTGAATCATGCAGCGTGCGAACAAACACATTCAATTGACTGAGCAGCCGCTCGAGCTTACGAAAATACAGCAGATACAACCGCTGTCTTAACTCGACCTCGTCGTCATCCTCCAACTCCAACACGCCCCAGCATAGTCTGGGTTCTCTGATGCTGATTGTCGCTTCATCCAAAGACAAGCTCCTCTCTCTTTCTGGCATCGTCGTTCCGCGACCTATCCGCTCGTTGAGCATTAATTCAAACTCGTCGATAATACGTCCAATGAGCATAGCGACGCTAATAATGTTAATCGGCTCAGAATCCCCATTTCCATGGTGGCCGCATCCCATAGACGCTTCAGAGGCTATAATGCATCGTTTCAGTTGCGAGAGCTGCACATCCAACGATAGCCTCCTCTCCTCATTACGGGATGGCTGAGACATAGACGCCATCTGCTCCATAACTCCCGCATGGCAAGTACATTCCTGGACTTGCGGTTGCTGGAACATATCCGTGCTTGTACTCGCACTGGTGCCGGTTCCGGGGCTACCTGTGAGTGGGGTGAGAATGTTGTTCACGCTGCCATTTACACCTCCGACTCCGGCGGCAAAGTTGCCAAACGATGAGAATAGCGAGTTGGTGTGGTCTTCGTTGGGCGTTGGGAGAGGGGTCATGAAGCTGGGGAGATCGAGGTTGGCGGGTGATAGGATCCCTGGTCCTGGGCCTGCTGTGGAGGGCTGTTGGTGGTGTGGTTGCTGTTGTGCAAAGAACTGGTCAACGCTGGGTTGTGGGGGATAAGATGTCATAGAGTTTTCGTGCAATGGCATGAAGGGTGTAGTGGTGCTGGTGTAATTCGCGGTAGTTGTAGCATTAGCAGTAGCAGTAGCGTTCGGGATATGTACGGAAGAGCGTCTCGACCCGGAATGCGAATGTGGCTGAGAACCCGAATGCGAGTGCGAATGTGAATGCGACAAAGATATCGGGGGCGCGTCTTTGTGAGTCCGGCGGGACAAGCCGTAGACACAGGTGGTCTTGTTTCGCTCGCATCGAGCACAGGTTGGCTTCGTCTGGCTGCAGCGTACTTTGGACTCGTTGCAAGCGTTGCAAGAGGCACGTAATTTGTATGTTTTTCCATCCATTTCTTCGTTGGCTGTCAGGAAGAGGTGAGTATGTGTGCTTCGAATTAGAATTGGACGAAGATTTATCTTAAATCCTGTGCGAGGGTGTCCTCGAGAGTGAACCCTGGAGAGATGGGATGCAACTCACATGCATATCCTTGTCTGACATGCACCTAGACCGACAAGATTCAGAAATTAGGATAAATGTCGGAAATTATCGCGGCTCTGACAGCTTGTTTGCGTCCAATTGACGATCCATGATGAACAATACTCTATGCAAACCATTTATACATCCTGATTGTCTCCTTAAGAGCTAATACTTCTTCTCCTTTGTTTGCTTTTTCCTTTTCCAGTCCAGATTTGCCATGTACGACTTTGAATTCAGTTACTCAACTGCGGTATCGCAAACAACCCTGGTCTGGTCAGACTTCTATACGGTTTGCATAAAGAAATGTAAGCACTACCCGCGCTGGCTATACAATACAGAACTGCAAGTCTCGCCTCACCGGACCCCCTCCCTGATTCCTTTATCTCACTGACATATATCTTTCTTTGGCGCATTCCTACCCAATGGCAAAAACCCCTCGCCATTTATCTCACCTTATTCTTGATAACAAACCGGACCAGAAGTGCTTCGAAAAAGTCAATTTGCCTGAACAGTGACAGCTCAGCTGCTGTTGCTTGCTACCAGGCATGTGATGTTCAGGGCCCCAAAAGCATGCTAAAACGCCTTCAGCCCGGTTCTATACGATCCACTTATGCTCTTAATCAACACGTCGATCTGCATGCTGGTTGGGCAATCAGCACTTTCTCCTTGTCCAGTTGGTCGAGTTGGCAATCCAACTGCACGGTTGTCTTGGCATTCTCCAGGTACTCGAGGTTTCTCGAATACGTGCTGTTCCTGGGGTGCTACCACGCTGCATGTTTGCATGTTGCATGTCGGACTGCGGTGAGTGGCACATTACGAAATGAGTCTGCACATTATATTAATGGGGTATTTACAGGTCTTGGGTGCGAGTATCACGATCCCTTAGTTAGAATAGAGTGACACAGTGTGTTAGGGCACAACGCTTATGCATAGCCTTATGCATAAGCTTAGTAACTATATATCACATGATTGTCACTTGGCGTACATAGTACAAGTGTTCTTGATAGTCAACGGCATACTCTGTACATAGTGCAAGTTCACTGTCCTGTGCCTGTACACCGTAACTACTCGGTACTATTGCAGTACCGGATCAATGAGATGGTCCGTGTTGACCCCTGGTGGATGACTAAGCTACACCGTGACCACACTAACTGCAAGTAGAAAACCCCCCCTGATTGGCCCACACCGCCCACAACAACTCACCGCTTTGTCAGGCTCTTCTTCTCCTGTTGTTGTTGTCCTCTTTCGACCGACTCTCCCTGTTTGTTCTCTCTCTTCCATTCCTCATCCATACGCCTCTTTCGTGCCAGTTTCTCTAATCAGTCGCCAAATTCACCTCCAAAATGCGTGAGATTGTACGTTTCATCGACCCTGATCGCTGATTTTTCACGTCCAGACGCGTTCTAGCATTCCCCTGAACCGGACCCCACCCGTTCGAATATACATCCACTTACCTGTCAGGATATATGCTAATGGAGTATCTCAATTATAGGTTCACCTCCAGACCGGCCAGTGTGTAAGTACCAACCGATTCTCGACGGATTAATTGTGGTGGTTGTGGTGGTTATGGGTAGTGTTTTGCGGGGTGGTGGTGCATACGGGTTGTTGGATCGTGCTGAGGCTAACCTCGGGTTGGGCATATAGGGCAACCAAATAGGTGCTGCTTTCTGGTATGTCCATAATATTGGGGTTAGGATTGAGTGATGTACTAACAGTATCATAGGCAGACTATCTCCGGCGAGCACGGTCTCGACGGCTCTGGTGTGTAAGTATCATCGGGTCTCCGGGATGGACGCGTATCGGATATGGATATCTAATGGACTACAGCTACAATGGCTCCTCTGACCTCCAGTTGGAGCGTATGAACGTCTACTTCAACGAGGTTTGTGCATTTATCTCTCATTGACGGACAGTTCTGACTTGCCAGGCCTCCAACAACAAATATGTCCCTCGTGCCGTCCTTGTCGACCTTGAGCCCGGTACCATGGACGCCGTCCGTGCCGGTCCCTTCGGTCAGCTCTTCCGTCCCGATAACTTCGTCTTCGGTCAGTCCGGTGCTGGTAACAACTGGGCCAAGGGTCACTACACTGAGGGTGCTGAGCTTGTTGACAACGTGGTCGACGTTGTCCGTCGTGAGGCTGAGGCCTGTGACTGCCTCCAGGGTTTCCAGATCACCCACTCCCTCGGTGGTGGTACCGGTGCCGGTATGGGTACCCTCCTTATCTCTAAGATCCGTGAGGAGTTCCCCGACCGTATGATGGCCACCTTCTCCGTCGTCCCCTCCCCCAAGGTCTCCGACACCGTTGTCGAGCCTTACAACGCCACTCTCTCCGTCCACCAGCTGGTTGAGCACTCGGACGAGACCTTCTGTATCGACAACGAGGCTCTGTACGACATCTGCATGCGTACCCTCAAGCTCTCCAACCCCTCGTACGGTGACTTGAACCACCTGGTCTCCGCCGTCATGTCCGGTGTCACCACCTGTCTCCGTTTCCCTGGCCAGCTCAACTCCGACCTCCGCAAGTTGGCCGTCAACATGGTTCCGTTCCCTCGTCTCCACTTCTTCATGGTCGGCTTCGCTCCCCTTACCAGCCGCAGCAGCCACGGCTTCCGCGCCGTGACCGTCCCCGAGTTGACCCAGCAGATGTTCGACCCCAAGAACATGATGGCCGCCTCGGACTTCCGCAACGGCCGCTACCTCACCTGCTCGGCCATCTTCCGCGGTAAGGTCTCCATGAAGGAGGTCGAGGACCAGATGCGCAACGTCCAGAACAAGAACCAGACCTACTTCGTCGAGTGGATCCCCAACAACGTCCAGACCGCTCTCTGCTCGATTCCTCCCCGCAACCTCAAGATGTCCTCGACCTTTGTCGGTAACTCGACTTCGATCCAGGAGCTCTTCAAGCGTGTCGGTGATCAGTTCACTGCCATGTTCCGTCGCAAGGCTTTCTTGCATTGGTACACTGGTGAGGGTATGGATGAGATGGAGTTCACTGAGGCTGAGAGCAACATGAACGACCTTGTCTCTGAGTACCAACAGTACCAGGATGCCTCTGTCTCCGAGGGCGAGGAGGAATAGTAAGTGCCCTGTTTCTGAAATTGGTGAATAATTGCTAACATCTGCAGCGCCGAGGAGGAGCCCCTTGAGGTTGAGGAGTAAATCCTGGTCTAATGTAAATTGAGTTTGCTCCGTTAATACCCTGCTCACGTTCTCTACGAGGCCTGGCCTCACAATTTGTTCGAGCGCACTTAATTTCTTTCATGTTTTTAATTGTGACCAGTGGTCGTAAAACTATTGAATAGGACATAGTACAGTTTAGCTATGCTCGATACTAATCTACTACAAAACCGAAATAATCGTAATCGTAATCATAAATCATAAATCATAACCACCATCAACCCCTGCTTAGTGAAACGGACACCCCCCGGTCCGCGCCGTCTTATACTCCTCCATGAACCCCTCCATCGATTTCCCACCCTTTCCCTCAAAATACCTCGGCCCAACATCCTCAATCCGATATCCATGGGGATAATACTTCTCGCCCTCATCCCCAGGCAACGGCCGTCCAAGAACCCAAGTGACCCACGCCGTTGGACTCCACCGATTCCAAACAGATGGCCTAACATAATACGGTGCAGCATCCCACTGCGTCATGAAGATACGGTTATTCTCGTCCGGGGTTTCGGTAAGAGACATGTAGCGCATGAAATACGGCCGCGGAGGGGTTAAATAGCGCAAGACGAATCGGCGGGTGTCCAACAGGGTAGAAAAGATCATAGTGTAGAGTGGTGGTGAGGCGTCATATAACATCGCCTTCCGAAGTCGATCGTCCATCATGAACGAGACGAACTTTAATCCCACATGGTGCAGATACTGAGGTAGCATATACACCAGCATGGCTGTCGTTTGGTCTGCTGTTTCCTTGTTCTTGATATGAAAGACCATGAATCGTTCCTCATACACATCGCTCCAGGAAGTAATTTCCTCAAGCCAGTGCAAACCATCCTTAAATCCCAAGGTTCCGGATGGGAGAGCTTTATAATCAATACCAAGCGCATCCCCCACACTCTTCCAAAATGTCCCAATCGCACATTTCTCTAAATCACTCAGCCCCCTCCACTCAAACTTCTCAATAAACCGAATCGGCTGGATCGCAAACAAACTCAGCGTATAGAGCATGTCATCTTCGCGAATGGTCCCCGACGAGCGGTACGCAGCATGTAAGAAGCGCGTTCGCGCGAGAGACGTGTATGCGCGATGTGAAGACGGGGAGTGCGCGATGAACTCCTGGATGAGCGCGGAGGTATCGGAGTAGCGTTTTAGGGATGTTGCGGGGTGCGAGAATTGGGTTGTTTTTGTTAGGACGGTTGATATACTTGGGATGCCGTATGTCTGTGCCTTCCATGTTAGGAGTCTGCTTGTTACTGTTTGTTTGGGGGTAAAAGGGCCGGGGGGGGTACCCTGAATAGCGCAAACTGCAACGCCTTGATGTAAATAAACGGAAACTCAAGCTGCGCGAGGACTTTCTGGATCTCCCATGCTTGGTCATCTGTCATGCGCGAGAAGGAGTCGCGGGTTGGGAAGTGGTAGTGTTTGTGGAGGTTGTGGTGTCGGCGGAAGCGGAAGAGGGAGGTTAGGAGGGGGTAGGCGAGGAGGACGGGGATAATGTATATGACGGCATCCCACGCAGAGATTTTGGAGGTTTCGGGGGTGTATATGGAGGTATTGTTTTCCATTGTGGATGTTGTACGGGTATGGAGTGGTTGAGAGGGAGGTTATATATATCCGGGGATCTGACGCGAGCGGTTTCCCCGCAGCCGAGGACCAACCAGAGGATATGTTAATTAATACATGTGTATGGTTGTTATGAGGCTGAGAATACCTTTCATATGCCACAATGTATATATTTTCAGGGGTGCATTGTCGCTCCTGGCAGTAACGGGGAAAATAAACAACCCGGATAGGAAATACATATCCGGTCAACATTTACGGTTAAAAATCTCCTATACATATCAGTTTTGCATTCGCGAATACATCCAGATATACCTAGTAACTCCTGCTCCAGAATACTCATTTCATGCTACGCGATTTCAGCTGCTTCCTTTGTCTCCGGCCGCAAATTCTCCGACTTCCAACAAGTCTCAGCACCTCCGCATCGACTAAAAATGTAACAGAATGTGTTGGTCTCAGCGCTACTCATGCAAGGCCAGAGTATTTCATCAGATGTGGTGGGCTTCCTTCAGTCTCCAAGGAAGGGGATCTGTTGACTTCCGTATACGCTGACGGTCAATTGATAAGATTGCTGTTCTAACTGGCTAATTAATGTAATTGGGTGGTTCTCCCAATTGGTCACAACCAACCAAAAGCCTGGCTTGCCCGCCTATCTACGACGTACTTCTTACCCATGCCTGGTCGTATTCACGGGGAATATGATGGAGAGATGATAGGATCCGGGGACTACGGCTATGCAGCCGGCATCCTTTTACTATGGTCATACATACATGGATTATGCACCTTGCATTTGTTTTGTTTCTTTGAACTTCTCTCACAAAAACTTCCTTTTGTAGCTAATTTATGGCTGCCAGATTGTCCATAAATAGGGCTTGTATAGTTTTCTCAATCAGAGTTCTTTATTCACTCTGAATGGTGCCTATGTCTACACCGAGCATATTAGTTGACACTTTTCCCTTCCACGAGGGATTTCCTTGTGTCAGAACAAACGCTTTGTCTGCCATCGCGGTTAAAAATGTTGAAGAGACTGTTGTATCGATTGTTTCAGCAAGAAGTCAATTGATCCCGACGCTGTCGATCATCTGTCACCCACCGGGTGCCCATCGACAAGAGCATACGAAAGAACCACGCAGTCGCTAGAAAGACCCATACCTAGTCTTCTGTGTCACTCGTCCCGGATTGCACGGAGCCCTTGACGATTGCGAATGTTGAGGCTGGGCCTAAACCTGACACTGAGACTGTATCCCAGTCTGAAGCTCATCAAAGGCGTTGCTGGGTTTGACCCTACTGGTCATGCAGCGGTTGCATGGTCTGTTTTATTTGGACTCACGATAAGCCAATTCGACTGATATGTATATGATTATATGGCTGATGACTTGTAGCTGATCAAAAACGACATTGATCGCTGTGATGCGGTTATGGAAGCATCTGAGTTCCTTGCTTGGGCTCTTTCCTATCACACCATCATTGACAGTAATTACCGATCTCAAAGTGGAAAAAGCAACCGAGGGTTGGAGAATGCTCTTGTCGAAGTCTATTTTGCGATTCTCCAACATACAGCCAGGTAGAAAAAGCAAGAAAGGAGAACACACTCGGTAAGTTGATGAAATCAGTTTTGTGCTCGAGGTCTTACTAATAGATTCTTTCCTGGGCAGCTCGTACGGCAAACAGCATCACTGCTCTTATCGACAAGCCACTCGAGCGAATCAAGTCAGTTTTAAAGACGAAAGGCCAGACACTCGACAGATGGAGAGACCTCTGCAGCGGCGAAGGTGAGAATGCAACGATGATCTACCCGACCATGATCTTTCCGACAATGTTCTTCGCTCAGCAGCAACTCCACGATGCTGGAAGCAACATTCTCCATGCTCTTTGACAGATTCAAAAGCCCACTGTTCCAGAAGCGGTCTTCGGAGCGGCATGTAGCAATGGCAAAGTGATGAAGTTGCTGCTGGATCGATTTCTTGACAGAGCGCCTATCCTCGATATTATCGAACGGATGGTAAACGCTAGTTGCTGTAAATATGAAGTTTTCCGTCAAATCCTGCTCGACCGGAATATCCTAACCATTGATGAGAAGCTTATTGAAGCTGTGGCAGGAGAATCGGAGGCCCTCGAGCTTCTTTCCAAACATGATTCAAATTTGCCCATTACAGAAGCGACTATAGTGAAAACTACAAGAAAAGTTGAAACACTGCGTATTGTTCTAAAAACTCGCAACAATGTTATTCTTGTCACAAAGAAGATTATGAAAGCTGCAGTTAAATCTCGCTTTAACCGAGGTGTCCTATCCTTGCCTTTTACCCGACTGGGCTAAAGAGTGCCTATTACCGAAAATATGTTGATCTACATAGCTAAAGATATCAATTTACTGCGGTCACTCTCTATACTTTGAAGCAGAGGCGTCATCTAGACCTCCAGACAGTCAGGGAGGCTTGGTGGCAAAGAGACTTGCCCAAGAGGGTCCGGGCATCCGAGATCCTATTTGAAAATGATAATGTTGAAGCTTTCAAGCATATGGTGGAAAAGCTTTCCCAAGATAAAAACGATTATGACTTGGCCGAGCTCCTTGGGTTTTCTACAGAGCACAAGGCCTCAAAATAGTTGAAAGGAAGGGCCATGGAAATGATCATAGAGGCAAGACATGGGCATTGTTTATACGGTGCTTAAGTGCAACCCGCATATCAAGATCACGGAGAATCTGCTTAATGCTGCGAAGAGAAAGTCAGAAAGCAATGGGAACTTTTAGATGTGGCTTTTCCATATCAAAATAAAGAACAATGGAGAAAATTGAGCAGATGTAGATGCATGTTCCTTGGACGAGACTCCATGATTCTATTTGTATTTAGGAGGTGACTGTTAACCCAATGGATGGTTCTTCAGAAAGCATTCCACAAAATGTACTGCCTGTACTTTGTTTGATTCCAACAGAAATGTAGCGCCTGTTGGTGTCATCCACCATGAAATCCCTCGGGGAAAAAAGCGAAACGAGGCTGACACGGATATGTGCTTCAAAATCATACAATTCAGGTGAAAACTCGAGCTTGTCTCTGAAGCGCTAAAAATGTTTCCTTATCGTGTCCGGGAATAACTTGACCCCTAGTAATCCGCTCAAGGTGCTTGAGACGCTGGGTGCTCCTAAACCAGGCTGGATGGTCTCTTGCCAGCCATCCTTGGGGAATGCCATCACGCCACTATTATGAATGTTAGATAGCCGCAAGCGTCTTATAATCATGATTACTTACATTCTCAATGACATGGCAATGGTCACTGATAAAGAGGAAGGTACCTGTCTCGAGCATGTTGATTTGCATTCCAACCAAACCATCCGTATGCCCAGGCAGGTGGTGGAGAGTGATGCCCTGACAAAAGTCCAAGCGCTCATCCGTAAAGGTTTTCCAGTTCCTATAGCTATATTAGACCCTCGCAAAATTTAGTGAAAGAATGGAGCACACATACAACGACAATTCAAGGTAATGTCCCAGATACACTCCAGCATCAGCTCCAGTGGCGACGGACCAGAAAGCAGATAGTAGTTCTTTCTCATGGACCCAGACCTCAACTTCTTTGTTGTCCAGGAACTCGTCGAGGCCTCCTGCATGATCCAAATGAAGATGGCCAATAATGATCTTCTTGATATCCTCGATTTTGTTGCCCGTCGCCTCGACTGCTGCGCGGAGCTCGTGCTGAGGCTCATACTTGACACGGGCAAAGATATCAGACACAGCCGGACCCCAGACCTCGGGATAGTCCTTGCCACAGCCAGTCTCCCAAAGGATCAGACCCTCATGGGGATGGTCGATTAAGATGCAGTACATGGGCATCTCTCGTCGTTTGTTGACGAAAGATTCTTTCTCGTTGCTCTTCACACTCGTGTTGCCGCCTCGAACCACAAAGCCTTCGTCACACTCAAGCCAACCAACCTCCAAGACGTGGAACTTGGTGCCTGGTGGGCAGACATTTGACACAGCGCTAGAAACAGCGCCTTGTTGAAGTTGACTCTGGATTGCGGACATTGTTACAATGCTTAAGGGGCTTGGGTCTTTGGTTTTCTAAATTATTAATTTCAAACTTGGGTGAAGACATAGAAAGATAAGAAATAGAGGATGGGAGACAAGAGACAGGGGGAGCATTTAGTGTGAAATCATCTCCAAAGATTCGATAAACTCTCTTGCAAACCCCGCATCCTTACATCAGGTCGATCCCGGAGATCTTGCGGGAACTCGGGTTATCGGTTACTTCTATGCGGTTATATGGTCACACCGAGATATAACTATACTCTGGATGCCTCAATCTCAACTGAGACATCCGTACTTCAAAAACATGACTCTTATCTCTGAAACACTTTCTATGTGAATTGTTACAATGGCGCCGCTTGCAAGTCTTTCGAATCTCAAGAGGCCCGATCTCTTCCAGCAAAAGGGCTTCATCGCAGAATCATGGGTCGACTCCGTCAGTGGTTCTACATTCAATGTGGCCAACCCAGCTACACTCGAGACTATCGCCACCCTGCCGGAAATGAACGCCATTGACACTGAGAAAGCCGTGACCGCTGCTCACGAGGCATTCAAATCCTACAAAAAAACATCGGCGCGCCAGCGAGCTCGCTGGCTGCGGCAATGGCATGCTCTCTGTATGGAGCATCTCGAGGACCTAGCTCTCATCTTGACGCTTGAAAACGGGAAACCGCTTGCAGAGGCAAAGGGTGAGGTAATATATGCTGCGTCGTTTCTGGATTGGTTTGCTGCCGAGGCTGAAAGGATACACGGAGAGGTCGTACCCACCGCAAATCTCGGCCAGCGCATCCTGACTATCAAGGAGCCTATTGGGGTCGCAGCGTGTCTTGTGCCATGGAACTTTCCCATTGCAATGATTACTCGCAAGGTCGGTGCGGCGCTGGCCGCGGGATGCACGACGGTCTGGAAGCCAGCTGGAGAGACGCCTCTCAGCGCCCTTGCCCAGGCTCTGCTGGCACAGGAGGCTGGTTTTCCGACGGGCACTGTCAACGTGGTCACGACGCTGAACAACGTGGCAGAAGTTGGGGAAGCACTCTGCAAGTCCAAGCTCGTGCGGAAACTCAGCTTTACTGGGTCGACCCGGGTTGGAAAGATCCTGGTCGAACAGAGCAGTGCCAACTTGACAAAACTCTCACTTGAGCTGGGTGGCAATAGTCCGTTCATCGTGTTCGACGACGCCAAGGTGGAAACCGCTGTCGACGCATGCATGCTCGCCAAGTTCCGGGGCTCAGGGCAGACCTGTGTGACGGCAAATAGGATTTTTGTTCAAGAGGGAATCTATGACCGTTTTACTTCTGCATTAGTGGAAAGGATTGAGAAACTAAAAGTAGGAAACGGTACAGACAGCGACGTGGCCATTGGCCCTCTGGCTCATGAGCGTGCGGTTGAGAAAGCCTTGGCCCATATAAAAGGCATACACACTATTCCTTTTACCCCTTGGGCACGACCTGCTAACATCAATTGAAACTCAGACGCCACGAGTCGGGGTGCCTCCATTCTCCTTGGGGGAGCGCCATCGAAGCCCAACAACCTCCCGGGCTATTTCCTCCAGCCAACTGTTTTGAGCGGCATGTCCATGGACTCACTGACCACGACCGAGGAAGTTTTTGCGCCTGTTGTCGCTCTCTACCCCTTCAAAACCGAAGAGGAAGTAGTTGAAAGGGCCAACGACTGCGATGTTGGTCTTGGCAGTTTCATCGTCACTGAATCAATATCACGCATGTGGAGGGTTGCGGAGGACCTCGAGGTCGGCATGGTCGGTGTAAACCTGGGCATGCTAAGCGCTTGTGAAAGTCCATTTGGAGGTGGGTTCAGTTTTTCGCACATATCCCCAGCTATCTGGTGATTTCACTAACAGTCCGTGTTAAGGCGTCAAGGAGTCCGGTTATGGACGCGAAGGAGGGCGACATGGAATTGACGAGTACCTTACTGTCAAGAGTATTTTGATCAATGTATCATCTTGAGATGTTTCTTTTAGACAGGGGTTGTAGCTAATGCGGTTTAAATTCGACATGCCATATCTTGTAAGTCAAAGCTGGTTAGATTCCACATTGAGAAGAGAGTAAGCGTTGGATTTGGTGCGTCGCCGAGTATAGATGCTCTGATGATAGACATCACAAGAAAATTTAGAATGAAGCCGACTACCCCGGCTGTTTGAACTGCGATGTTGGGGAGTCTGGGGTACAACCCCGCATTCTCTTTAACCTAAATGCCAATCCATATCGAATGGAAAGCTCGGTCAAAAGGATGAGATCTTGCATCCCTCAACCCCTCTTTAGGTCTGCAATTGATTGTCAGAAACGTTCAAGTCAGCAACTATATGGCCGTTCAATACGGTGAGATCTCCACATCTCCCGGCTATATGCAATATCCGACTCACAGCCGCGGATCGTTGTTATGAACCATAAAGTACGATTATTCATGAGATCATACCATAGATTAGACATAAATAGTATGGCCCTTCCTGGTGGGAGGAGAATGGCTAAATTGATCACTCTTGGCTCGTTGTATCGCTTGGAACTAAGCCCTCCGTAATCATGCCTCCTGCAACTATGCGTGCTGTTGTCCTGAAAGGGCCCTACGAGGTAAAGCACCACCTGCCGAGCCGATTTACCAAGACTGACCTTGCTTGGCCCAGGTCGCTGTTGAAGACCGACCGTATCCTAACATCTGGGAGCCAACTGATGCCATTTTGAAGGTGTCGTCCACAGCACTATGTGTGGGTAGCATATCAACATGCACCTGGTCCTAGTACTTGCGCTTATACGCAGACAGGGTTCTGATTTGCACTTCTATCGCGGTCACTTGAAATGTCCCGCCGGTTTCGTGTGTGGCCATGAGTTTGTCGGTACTGTCGTCGAAAAGGGAGAATCTGTTCAAGACCTCGCCCTTGGGGACCAGGTTGTTGTTCCATTTTTTACTTCTTGCCAGGAGTGCTATTACTGTGTGCGCGGCCAAGCAAGTCGATGCGCAAAGGGTGAGCTTTTTGGGAACTCGACACCAACCAATACAATCGACGGTGGGCAAGCTGAATATGTCAGAGTGCCCTTGGCACAGACAACCTGTGTTAGAACGCCTAGAGGTCAGTCAAAAACCATTAACGGTCTGAACAAAAGCTAATTGATCAAAGGCGTTCCCGAGGACCTCCTTGTTCTCATGGCAGATATCTTTCCAACCGGATATTTCGCTGCGTCACGCTTCTTGAAGAATCTTGAGCCGCGCGATCGAGAGCAGTTCACTACTGTAGTCATTGGTTGCGGCCCCGTGGGTCTCTGTACGATCGCATGTGCGCTCAGCATGGTCAAAACCGTATACGCAATCGACTCTGTTCCGGAGCGACTCGCAGAAGCCGAGAAGCTAGGCGCTATCCCAATCAACTTGAATGATGATCCCCTGAGCAAGATCAAAGCGGCTTCCGGAGATCGCGGGGCAGATGTGGTGATAGAAGTCGTTGGGCATACGGACGCTTTCATGCTCGCTTTCGATATGATCAGACCGTGGGGCCAGATCAGTTCCGTCGGTATCCATACGGAGCAGATTTCTCTGAACGGTCTGCTATGCTATGGTAAGAACGTCACCATGGCCTTTGGCCGATGTCCTGTGCGCAGTGTCTTTGACGAAGCATTGAGGCTGTTCCAGGAGATTCATCCCAAGGTTTCCTTCTTAGGTGGCAAGACAATGGCGCTCGAAGATGCACCACAGGCGTATAAGGACTTTGAAGCGCGGAGAACTAACAAGGTAGTTTTTAAGATGGATGCTTAGGAGGGTATAGATGTGGATAGGAGTTCGGGGACGGGAGTTCTATAGTTCATTATATTCCTTTGATACTACTGTTATAGTATAATTCATTATTCTTTACACTGGACTTTATCATCCTCTGAGAGATGTTGCGTGGAGGGGCAGAACTGTACGGAGTCTGGCTGAGCACCCTATCAACCTATGCCAAACAAGTATCAAATGGAAGAAGCAAAGGAAACCCTCACCCTGAAAACTGCAGGTATGAGGTTCTACTCCGAGTTCTTCCGGCCTATGTTATGGCTTACGGGTTTAGGCAATGCAGCTTACTGGTTTCTAAGATACGAGTGAGACCAAGCCGTACTTTTTCAATCATCCTTTGACTGAATCATAACCAGTTACAGTTGGCAGCCCTGATTCACAACCAAGAGATCAGTGGCTGAGTTTCACTACTTCTATCCCCCCGCAGGTTCGATGAAGGGTCATAGTTCGCTTCGAATACAGTTCTAGACTTTTCCCCTCTTCCCCTTTTTTCGAGGACGAGAGATTACCTGGCTGACATTGATTGCTCCATTGTCACCTCGCAACTGTTATGAAGCTGCGCCACGCTGCTAGGTCAAAACATTATATCCACCCGATTCTTGGCTGGTGCATGACCCCAATCACGGAAGCCCTAATGACAGGTAGTGGAGCCCGGCCAAGATCTTGTTTTCGCGCCGCCAAGGAGTAAACACATATATTTACTGGGCAATCCATCTTGTCTTTTCAATCAATCAAGAAACCATTAAAGAAAATACTCGTGATGACAGTTGAACAGCCCTCTATCGAGCAGCGAGGCGAGGAGATCCTCAATGTCTTCAGCGCCGCATTCAGTGACCTTCTTGCGGCAGACCCTACTGCATTCCAGGTCAAGTTCCGCAAGATGGCGGCCTCAACGTTTGCCTTCTACCGTGGTAGTGCGTGTCTCTTCTACCATGACCTGCAGCAGGAGCAGCACGGTGGCCCGTACCTGAACGACCAAACAAGCCGGATTTGGATCCATGGCGATCTACACGCAGAGAATTTTGGCACCTATATGAACTCCCAGGGTCGGCTAATCTTTAATGTCAATGACTTCGACGAGGCATATGTCGGCCCCTTCACCTGGGACCTTAAGCGCTTCGCCGCTTCGGTTGCCCTGATTGGATACGCGAAAGCGCTCAGCGACAAGCAGATCGCCAAACTTGTCCAGACGTACGCCGCAGCCTACCGTGAGCGTATTCACACCCTGGCAATTAGCAATAATCATAACGAGGTGCCTCGCTTTACCCTGGACACGGCCAAGGGCCCGTTACTGGAAGCATTGCACTCAGCCCGCGCGCAGAATCGCATCGGGCTGCTTGACTCGATGACCGAGATCCATGACTTCGAGCGGCGCTTCACCTTGGGCGGCGGTGCAATTGAGCTGGACTCTGACACACGAGAGAAGGTTGCAGCTGCCTTCCATCGCTATTTGGAAACACTACCCAAGTCGAATAAGGGTCGCTCCGACAACGCCTACCGCATCAAAGACGTGGTGGGACGTCGCGGTGTCGGCATCGGCAGCGCAGGCCTCCCATCGTACAATATCCTACTTGAAGGCAACAGTGAAGCCCTGGAGAACGACGTGGTGATATACATGAAGCAGTCCCAAGCGGCAGCCGTCTCCCGACACGTCACGAACAGTGCGGCCTCCAACTACTTCCACCACGAGGGTCACCGGACAGTGATTTCGCAGCGCGCACTGCAAGCGTATGCAGATCCATGGCTCGGCTGGACCGAGATCGATGGCGCAGGCCAACTCGTCGCAGAAGTTTCACCGTACGCCGTGGACCTTGACTGGTCAGACATCAACGACCTGGAGGAGATGGCGATGGTGGTCGCCGACCTGGGCCGGGCCACCGCCATGATGCACGGGGCCGGAGACGACGACAGCAGCCACTGGGAACTGGTGCCTTTCTCGCCCGAGAAGGCTATTCATGCGGCCATTGCAACTGACGAAGACCGATTCGCGGACTTGCTTGTTGGATTTGCGCATGAGTATAGTGCCCAGGCCCGGCGTGACCACCACATATTTGTGGACTTGTTCCGTAATGGTTGCATTCCGGGGCTATCTGCTGATGTTGACAGTGATTAAATTCTTTTGTGTATCAACTGCAGACAAACCTTAGTAGTTATACAAATCATTCCTGCAAATCCATCCTAAGGCAGAAACAGGGCATTTCACCGCCTCGCGCCCGGTTGTAGCAATAACTAGACGGGATATATCTAATGCTCGTATCCGGCACTCTACAATTTCCTTAACCTTGTTGCTCTTTGATTCTCTCGTGCATTTTTGTTGATCTTCTAAACTCTCCGGTCTCTCATCCGAGCTCGGTGGTGCCAGTATGTATAAAAAATACGTCAAAATTTTCATATACGCCTTCATTTTCTTTATTTGCCTCCAATGAGGTAGAGCAGTACACGCACATTAGTGATCGGTACCCGATGGCAGGTAACATCGCGAGTTTGCTGATCTCTGTTGTCCTTTCTTCACTATATAGTAATTACATGTAATCTGCACTGGAGGATGCTTTCCAGCAACTCGAGGTGCAGGGAAATCCACCACATCCCGATTTGTTGCGGCACGCTATGGAAGGAGGGAATGCTAGGTGCCAGCTTCTTCAACCGAAGTGAAGGTGGTCGCAGTAATGACCAAAAGTTCTTTTCCGCCATCACAGTCTAATTGATGGCCCATTTCCGTGAGATGGTCAGCGCAGTCCGGCTCGCGCTGGAACATGAACCATGAAATACTTCGAAAGCGCTTGGAGCCTTGGACCGCGATTCCGAGAGATCTTGTCTACCAGCCCCTTACGAACGTATGCCGGTAAAGACCCATTGCTCTGGTAGCTGATGCATTGGGCGAGTGTGAATCCACGGACGACGAGGGTATCCAGTTACAGATAAAACAGACGACCCAGAGGAGCGTCTGGCTGGATTCATGGGGTATTATCAAACAACAGGCCATGCTAGCCAACTGGACCAGACTTACGGGCCTGTCCTGAATCATCTCCTAGCAAGGAAGTCTGAACGTGACCGCCTGGAGAACCTTCGGGATATTATTAGGGCCATTATTCTACTTGCCACGCCATTCTCGGTCAATTCCCTAGCAGCACTGATGAATATGGAGCCAAAGGAAATAGACCTGAAGCTGGAGTACCTTTATTCAGTCAGGGACATGCCTGTTGATTCCAATACTCCCGTTCGAATGCTTCACCAGTCCTTTCGAGACTACCTCAGAGTCATCCCCCAAGCAGCCAGAGAACAGCGACCAGGACAATCCTTTCTTGGTTGAGGAGACGGAGGCCCACATGATAATTGCTTTTCAATGCATTGGGCTGATGCATACGAATCTTCGCGAAAATCCATTTCATCTGCCTGACGAGGGCCCCATGCCGAACAAGCATGGCTACAGCATCTCACTAGAGCTTCAATGCTCCTACCCTCTTGAATAGAGCAAGTCGCACCAAGTTCAAGCTCTGGGGCCAGAGACAGTGATGCATGCAGCTGGAATGACTGTGTTGCCGGAGGCGGTGGGCGTAATGTCATAGCAGGTAACTGCAGCTATAAATAATGGCGCAGCTAAAGGGGGCAGAAGAAACGGCACAAGAAGTTGGAACGGCGCATTTGGGACCGGAAATGACTATTCAACTGGTATTGGTAGACATGAAGGCTTTGGTAACTCGAGTCCTAGCATATTAGGTGGGCAGACGTGGTTTAATATTCGAATAGTGCAGTGTTAATTATGAGGGCATTTGTGGGTTGCATGGTTAATAGCATCACCACTGACCATTTGAAGAAGAAAACACATGTCAAGATCTATAGGAGCTGGCCCGAGAACAAGCTCAGGTTACCCATGGTTCATGGCATGAAAACCAAATTCCCAATGATTAGGGCACCGGAGTATTGTCAACATGCACAATCCTACCCGTCGGACAATATGTGCCCCCCGAATGTAGCAACACTCTCTCCGACGGTTCCCTCTCCTTGCATAAGTCCCACATGCCAGTCGACGCATTGCTAACTCAAAGCCGGCACTGATATAACCAATCGTCAGTGCGGATAGCGGGTCAGTGCGCGGTATGCTATGCGATCCAATCGCTCCGACAGGGAATTTTGGGCACAGATTTGTCAAAAATAAAGTAATCAGTAAGCAGGTATACCTGCTCTCTGTAACCCTGGGGAAGAATTTGTGGCTAACAGAAGAAAGGGGCTAAAGTGAAATGTCAGTGATCTCCATTATATTACCGGTTTGACCGTAGATATTCCGGGAATATTGATTGGATCACTTCCAGCTCCAGATGTGGTTGTACACACTCACAACAACCTATCACGTTTATAATCCTCGAGGACAACTCCAGATAACGAGGGTAGGTAGGCCAGACGGGCCGATGGTTACCCGCGCACTTTGCGAGATTGTGGTTGGTGTTGCGAAGAAAGGGTGGGTGTTGATTTTTGCTCGTGATGGCTATGGAATGCGATACCTTGGTCCGGGAGTGGTGCAGGATGTGACACGGTGGTCGATAAAGTGATGTCAAGGCCGTTCCACTGAGTAACGATGGCATCTCGTGGAATATTTGGACTCGAGGCATATAATCCCTAGCTAGCCCTATCGCGTTTCATTTGAACTTTGAGTACTTTAATTTCTTTACTCATGTACTTGGTTCAACAGGAGGCATAAAATAACCGCAATTTTATTCTCTCCTTTTTGTCCTTTTCTTTTTGGTCGTTGTACTTCCATGGGACCAGACATCGAAAAGGACCAACAGGTCCAACAAGTCCGCACCGGTAGCCAAGACGACCCCGAACACAGCACCTCCTCTACAAACTTAGCACCCAAGTCGCGCTACGAAAAATGGGCCGAGAATATCAGTGGCCTAGAAGTCCGCGGCATCGAGCCCATTCCCCTCGAAGAGCGCCGAAAACCCACCGCTTGGGCTGCGTTGGAGATGCTGGTCATGTGGTTCAGCATGGGCATGGCAATAAACAATATTACCGCGGGATCTATGGGGACGCTTGTGATGGGGTTGAGTTATAAGGATTCGGTGATTTGTGCGGTTTTGGGGAATCTTTTGGGGAATGTGGCAGTTGGGTACATGAGTACTTGGGGACCAAGGAGTGGGAATCGGACTCTTGTATGTTCGCCAAGAGCTATTTTGCAGGTCGAAGTTGATCGGTTATAGATTGTGGCGCGCTATTTTATGGGGTATTACCCCAGCAAGGTGTGCTGTGCGCTCAATATCCTGACGAATCTCGGATACGGCATGATGAACTGTGTGGTCGGTGGCCAACTCCTCTCCAAAGTATCGGGAGGGCACGTCTCCGTCATTGTGGGAATCATTATCGTCGCCCTTGCGAGTTGGGTCATGGCCACTTTCGGCATGAGTGTGTTCCAGTTTTATGAAAGGTATTAACCCAAGAACTTCTGGGGTTCTGTTGCTAACATGTAAATTAGGGTCGCATGGCTACCTCAAATAATGGTTCTCTGCATTATGATCGGAACAGCATGGCCCCAATTCAACTTCGACGCCGTATCAATCGGATCCACAGAACAAATCAACGCAAAGCGCCTATCCTTCTTCTCACTATGTTTCTCCGTCAGCCTCGCATGGGTCCCTATCGCCGCGGATTACTACGTCTACTACCCACCTGACATCAAGCGCTGGAAGACATGGACCGTGACAGTTATCGGTTGCTTCTCTATGATGATCACGATCCTCATGGGCGTTGGTCTTGGGACCGGCGTTGCGCATAATCTACAATGGGCGGCAATCTATGACGGCACGCCGGGGGGCTTGCTAATGGCTGCTTATAACCGGCTTGGGTCGTTTGGGAGTTTTTGTGCCATCGTGAATATGGTGGGTGTGATTTCGAATAATGCGCCTGGTTCGTACTCGATGTCGATGAATTTTCAAATGTTGGGGAATTTTTGGCAGAAAATCCCAAGGCCTGTGTTTACAATCATCACTACCGTGATCTATGCGGGCTGTGCTATAGGCGGACGCAACTCGTTGTATCAGATCTTCGGAAACTTCCTACCGCTTATTGGGTATTGGGTTGTTATCTGGCTCATGATTGTGATCGAGCAAGATGTGCTCTTCAACCGAGGTAGGGAATACGATTGGTCTATCTGGAATAATCGGAGGAAACTACCTGTTGGAATCGCAGCTGGTGTATCGTTCCTGGTTGGTTGGGTCGGAGCTATTGTTGGCATGGTTAGTATGTTCTATCACGATTATATGGTATCCACTGACTTATAGATACAGAACCAAACATACTACACCGGACCAGTCGCGAAAGCCGTTGCCGGTGACTGTGAATTGGGTATCTGGCTTGGAGCAGGGTTTACGATTATTGCCTATCCTCCACTAAGAATGTTGGAATTGCGGTTTACTGATCGGTAAGTGCGACTAGAGAGTGATATAGGTGAGTCGAGGTGGGTTGAGTCGCATAGAAGTGGTTTGCATAGTTTAACTTGAATAGATTGATCTTGAATTCAATATAATTGTTATGCCATAACGTCCACGGAAAACAGCATAGAGACTGCAATGGCCGGAAATGTGTTTAAGAATGGATGCTATAAACTACACTCATGCCAAGGGCTAGACTGCTATCAGGAGAGTAGTCCGTATCCAGGATACGAAGACTTCCTCATCCAACCACACGAATATTCAGGTTCGTTTCTCTGGCAGAGCCGTAGTCAAAAAAAAAAAAAAAAAAAAAAAAAAAAGATGATGATGATGATGATGAGGCAGGAGGCAGGAGGCTCTCTATCCAGACAATCTGTATTCTCACAGCTCTCGCGTTTATTTAGAAAGCATTCCACATGAATCAATATCGACTATTCTCTGTCTGTACAGGAGCCAATCCACAACAACCCTAGCAGTATCCCGGACCACACCACGACCATCACCCAGTATCCGCATTCACGTCCGCAAGCCCCCGTCCACCGTTCGCTAGACGGTCCCAAACTAGAAAAAAAGACACAGTTAACCTTGTCGAGGGACCTGGAACCTTGGATCTAGGTTCATATCTACACACGAGCCACACATTGAGATACACATTGGTTTAATTGTGAGATTCTGTTCGTTTGCTATTTCCAGTGATTGTTATGTGGCTCGTTGCTTGGGTTGTGTTCGACTAGCAGCGTGCGTATTAGATCTGGTAAAGAACTCCAGATTAGCTTCTGGGAAGAGTAGATAGCGCTGTTGGATTGGCTTACGGTTACTCTAAAGCACTTTTTTAATTGATTGGTTAAGCAGTATGTAAACGTAGCTGTCAAGTGACTGGGGAGGAAAGGAAGAGGAGGTGGTGGGCTTCGGATTGAGTGTTTCGGATAGGGCTGTGTAGAGAGACGTGACTCACTTGTAACTGTTTAATTGTTGAGATGGAGATAAAGAAACTGGTTGGAACAGAGGGAGAGGGAGGGAGAGGGAGAAATGGGGAGGAAGAGAGGAACCTCGACAGCTCCCTCATTTACAGTCATCATATAACCTCCTCAATAGCACGGCTTATTCCTCCTGGTAACATAACCCAGAAAACTTTTTATTATTTCAGATTGAATGGACTCGAGACACTGTCGACGAATTATCAATTCATTTACGAGTACCAAGCTACGAGAGTCCGTAATAGGATGGCAAAATTACGATAGGTTATAACAGCAATCATAATGGAGGTTTCTTCTCAATAGTAAGGACAAAAACTCAACAAGCCTCTGTCATTGCTTGTATACTTAAGAGCAAGTTGAAACCAGGGCGAAATAAGCAGAGACCGAAGATAGCACCCAGCCAACGCCCACCACTCGCACGCACACACATAATTCCTTCTTTATACGCGGACCTTATCTTCTTTGCTATTTTTCGTCCAGCAAGCAAACTCTATCAGAAACCAGTCAGCACAACGGCACAATAACAGAAGCTGACACAGTCAGTCATTGCAATGCTAGATTTACTCTTCAGGCTCAAATACCAAATAAAAGGCGTGGTTGGCAACAGAGTACACATAGAAACCAAGCGTAATCACAATCGTGCCCTTCCAGTCAACTAAGAGTGGTTTGTAATGCTAAGGCTCGCCCATTATGTTGTAGGAGGCTAGGATGTCTCGAAGTAACCGGGTAAACAGGGTTGGGGGACTGCTGGCACGAAAAAGGGCTTGACTTGCTTTTCTCGTTAAATTAGTGTATATAGTATATAGAAGATAGTGAGCATCTAAATTCTCGAGGATGTTGATGGGAAGAAGGAGGATAAACTGAGGAGGGGAGAGGGAGAGATGTGGTAAATGGGGACAGGAACTCCCTCGCTCGCCATCATGTGACTGACCTGGCTACCTCGACGGCACTCTTTTTCCCGGGTTGAATCAACCACAGTATCCTTCTAGAATCAATCTCATAAATTTAGATCCCAACCCGTATCAGCATAACCTCCTTATTCAAGTACTGCGACAGAGTACACATCAAATTCCAACAAGCACTCGCACACAGCTCTCCATTATCCTTTCATTTAGGCAAGTCTCGTAGTTTGTAGTTTGTGTTCAATCCGTATTGAGGCGCCGGCTACTCTCTCCGCGATTCTCCATCCATCGATTAACCTCTACCAGAGCCTACGGTCAGCATGATGACACAAGAAGGATCCCGTAGCAGCAGATTTTTCCTTACTGGCCTCAGCGTAGTCGCATATTTTATGGGACACGCGAGAAGAGAAAAAGAACACGGTCAGGAACACGGCATCTCGCCAGGTAAACAGTCGTAGATTCAACCAGGTCATTGTTCGGTAGGAGTTCCTTCAGGCTAGCCTCCAGCTTGTCTGGTGAGTGGTGCCGTGATGAAAGAGGATGGGTTATTATATGACAGTCTGGTGGTTGATGGTATTGAGGTCTGCGTGTTAGATGCGAAGAAAAAATATTGAGCACAATGGGATGAGAGAGAAGAACGACGCGAGCTTCGTAGAATCTCCTCTCATCCATCATGTGACCAAGCGCATTCACTTTTAACCTTTCATTACAACTTGTTCAGTTAAACAGAAGACTGCAAAAGCAACTGTTTTTATTCTTCTATCCTTTGAGTATCAATGACTTGTCAGTCAAGACAAAGTAATCAGCGGTTCCAACCCTTCTATTCTTCCCTCATTCTCAAGAATCATGGACTACAATCACCATCTTTTTTTACTCGTCACGTCCTTCTTCTTCTGGAACATGCAGCATTTCGCTAGGGTAGAAATCGGTGCGCACACCTATACACATCCAGGTCATTGGTATCGACTAACACGTTACAGACTTCTGCAATACCGGGGATACAGAACTTCCTATAAGAGTGACGAATATTACTAGGGGTTAGATCGCATATATCCACATGGAGATAATGGGTGCTAATTAATTACGGTCCTTATTAGTTCACGTCCATGATTGAACTTTGAAGAGAACCCGAAACTCCGAATCTCAGATAGTCACAATATCTGATCTCCAACCTGTACTCCAGACGGTGAGCATCAGCTTCCGTACTACGTTATGCGCTTGATTTGCCGGAAACATATGACCGATTAAACAACAACGCGGCCAGTGTGCGCGAGAAACGTGATGGAAGACATATATCGGAGGATGGCAGGCCGCAGGATGACAGTTAATGTTTCTAAGAAATTCAACACATGTACCCTTCCATCATTCGAATGGACTACTCTCTTGAATTTTAGGGTTGTATACTTGGCATATTGAGTATTTTTATAATTATTATAATAAGATGAATACTAATATTAATTAGCATCGTTGGTCTAGTGGTAGAATTCGTCGTTGCCATCGACGAGGCCCGTGTTCGATTCACGGACGATGCATTCTTTTTTTTTGTTTAATTTTTTCCACTTTACTCCGATGCAGTAGGGTCACCCTCCTTTTTTTCATTCTTTTCTCTTTTCCAAATACGAGTAGAGATGGAGTGCTGAGTTACCGATTATTCAGTTTGGATGTTCCAGATACATTTCGTCTAGATACACTGGAAATATATATATATCTTTACGGAGACGGACCACGGGGTGCATGTATGCGTAGATGGGTGGAGACATTGAGGTAGATCAGAGGTATCCTGGGGTCTAGCCATTTGCTATTTGAGGATCGAGATTTTCATGTCCTATAGAAACTACGGTTTGTATGCTTGTCCTCAATAATGAAACAGGAAAACGGAATAGTAAGTGCTAGAAAGGTAAATGACACCGAGTATATAGATAAGAGGCACAAAATAGCAAAAGAATGAATCAAAACAAGAAGACCGCATGATGGGGGTATTATGCAAATCCAGAGACAATAAACGCCGGAACACAGTGCCATCGCTAATGATTAGGAAAGAAGAGAACGTAGAGGCATTAATCGAGTATTTTCAGGAATGGGACCAGCCGTTACGACGCAGAGGGTCCAGGAGCGATGAACACATTGATGACATGGCCCGGCTCCCAACCCTGGTCCGGTAATGATGTGTGGCCTCTAAGAACTTTGCCTAGATATGCAATCCTGACTGTTTGATGCTGGCCGATCTGCACGATAGCAAACAAGTGTCAGCCCAATCTATTCTTGTCACTGGAACAAGGGGAACCTGGAACATACATCTGCTTCCTGTCGAATCTTGCGTGCAATGAAACCAACACTTCGATTTTTCCCAACAGACACGACAAGGTCTAACCCACCCCTGTCGCTAAGTCGAGCTCTCACACTGATAAGGTCCCGCTCACTGGTCTTGCCCTTCTCATCCCGACGTTTCTCAAGATCATCTGAAATAAGCTCATCGCCTGATGCATCGTCATCGGCCAACTTGGACATTTCATCATCGTCCACGTCGGAGTAATCATCCGCACGATCCGCCTGTACCATATTCTCCGGATCGCTCACAATACACTGCGGCAATCGGTACAGCGCACCTTGTTCATCATAACACCCTTGACAGACATCACCCGTGGGAACAGTAATACCAGCAGCATCAATGATACTCTGCGCCGTCGCAAGATCGTTATTCTCTCGCATGAACGTAAGCGCAGCCGCTAGAGCAGCCCATATCTCCGACCGCCCCGTCACCCTTGTCTCAAAGAACTCTTGCCGCTCCTGGTCCAGTTGAGCGCGCGTCCACGCCCGACGCTTGCTGTACCAGACATGCGGGCGGATCGGCGCATTGAAGTGCTCACTCAGGGGGAACTGGTTTACCGGCGGCCCGCGGCGGCGAGTCGTCGGCCTGGCGATTTGCGAGGCGGAGGTGTTGGATATAATTGTGGAAGTTGTGGCAGCGTGAACCTCGGGCGTAGGCGAAGCGTCTGTACATTGTTGTTGTTGTTGTTGCTGCTGTTGTCGTTGTTGGTGCGCTTCGGTGGTGGTGATACATCCTGTCGCAATCGTATGTGGCGGCTGGTTACTGTCACGCGACAGCAAAGAGAAGCAACAACCCTACACGATTTCCGTTAAATTCTAAACCATTGCATATTGAAATAGATAAAGGCTGGGCAAAATCATAGACAGATCGGCCAGGGCTGTCAGAGTCTCGAGGTGGAGCTGCGACAAACGGGAGAATCTTCCGTGCAGGAAGAGCTATGGTAATGATAACCACCAACCCACGAGTTCGTCTAACGAAAGCCAAGACGGTCAGGCAGTAACAGGTGAACTATGGACTTACCATCTTGTAGAAGCCAACAACGAGACTCCATCAGCCAGAGGAAAGTGAGTTAACCCAAGAGGAATGCGTGAGAATGACCCGAGAAATAGACAAGAAAGAGTTCAAGGAGGTGGTGCGATGAGGGGAAGACGAACGAGGATTAGGACGCCATTACGTATGTAGCAGATGTAAGTAAGCCCCGGGCAGCGATCCTTGCAGTTCACCCCTGCAAAGTGAGTGAAAGAGAAGACCTGGTAGAAAGGAAGGGAAAATAAAGAGGAATTGAATCCCGATCGACAGTCAACCATAGAAAAAAATTATGAAACGCATTGACTCGAGGCAAAGTCTTTGAGTTCACATGGTACTATGAAATATGCCAAATCTCCAGTATCGTACGGTATGTACGAATACCATACGATATGGTACCGATTGTTACTGGTACGCAACGGTTACGCGTGACTTGTCACATGATAAGCTTTGCTCCATTAAACAAGCTCGTTTAGTGCCGAGTATCACATCCACATATAGTTGTTCCGAAGCTATACAGTGTAACATTACAAGACGGAAGCTACTCCATCTCTTCATCTTCATCTTCATCGTCACTCCCAAATATTGCCTTGAAAACCGTCTCTCCTGGCCGTTCAGCTTCCAGAGCTTCATTCCGTTCTGGCTCCACAACTACATGCTCTCTTGCAGTCTCAGTACCCATTTCTGCTCGACCGCTATCCACCATTAGCTGGTTCAGAACGTCCCGTGAAACCAACTGCTTCGGACCGGCATTTGCAGGAGCTTGATAACCCGCGGACTGGAAACGGTCACCAGCAGCGAAAGGTGCGCCTCCCGGCCGCTGCTGTTCCTCAGGGTCTTGCTGCACATTAGAAGGCGGTTTCACATTGAACCGTTTGCACAATAAACGGCCTGGATGGAATGAGATGGTGCTCCTGGTCATCGGACCAAACATGCCAATTTTGGCAGCCGCTACAGCAGGATCTTCGGGCTTTTCAGCAGGTTTGCTGAGTAGCGGGTTATCTGAAGACGATTCCGCTTCGTCTGACGAGCCTTTAGGGCCGGACGACGCGGATGTGAACCGCGATGCCATAACCCCGCTCACTGGTTTAAAGACTTCTGCGGCTCGAGCGAACTCGCGTAACTCGGAAGCCCACTCGTCGGTCGTTGAGCCGGGAACTCGTTCGGGAAGTGTGTCACGGCGTCCAGCACGTACCTCGAGGAATGACTGGTAACGGACGCGTTTGTCGGGATCCCCTGAGTAGGGTATCCATCCGCTGACTGCACGGGTCAATGCTTGGACGGCCAGCTGCTTATCTAGCTTTGGAACCAGATCCCAGAGATCTTGTCGTTTCTGGGGTTCTGACATTTCGTAGCCTTTAGGTGCTTTTTCGCCTAGAGCTGGCGGTAGGTTCGTTTTCCCGGTTAACTTCGCTATCCTCTCTCGGGCTTCAGGAGTCATCCAGTCGAAGATGGATTTTGAAGGTAATTGCGCCTCCCCTAAAAGCGCAGCTCGAGATGTAGGATCAAGCGATGAGGATTTGGCAGCGTCTGCCGTAGAAACGTAGTTGGTAGTATCCCTCTCTTGCGACAGAGCTTTGCTGGGTTTCCAATCCGAAGGGGCCTCGGGTGCATATCGTTTCTCCTGGGACGAGATAGAGAGACTAGCCAGGTCTGCAAGTACAAATCCATCCAAGGGTAAACGGCCATCGTGGCATTTCCTGAAGCGGCCAGGATTCCTGGATGCCATGGCTTTCTTGGAAATGAACACTGGCTTGGTGCTCACGAGAGGGTTGGATGCTGAACCAGCGGCCGATCTTAACCCGGCTTTCTCTCTTTGCTTTTTTTTCTTCTTTTTGTCCCCTCCGATGACACGGTTGTAGGAAATCTGTGGACCCATAGAGTAGGGGTCCTCGTCATCCGATCCAGTATCGTTCAAGACACCGACACCAAATGCGCCGCGACGTGGCTCCTCTGGCTTGGACGGCTTTTGCTTCCCAGGGGCCTCTAGTCGCCGCCCAAAGAACGGATCCGAATCTTCATCTTCCGAGTCCTTCCCCCCAGGGCCATGCGACTCGTCCAGGCGAGCTTCTCCTTCGAACCCTAATCCCTTGTGATCGTTTTTCTGGACGAAGGCTATCATGGGCGGATTGTCCGGTGCGAAAAGGTACATCTCGTTGCTCTGCGCAGCACGGTCACCGAGATCGGCTCTCCGTCGCACTTTGGGGCCGATGCCTTGGCCCTCCCGCCATCCCATCCTTTTCATCAGTTTGACACCCATAGTCTCGCCACCCGTCTTGAGGAGATCCATCAATCCCGCACGGCGCATAGTATCGGCATCCGTAGACCCAAACCCCGCAAAATCACTGCTCGTCTGAAGCTCCCTCGCCTCCTCAGCTTCACGCAGGTCCTCCTCATCCATAAAATCCTCCGCCCGTTGTTGCGGTTTCGCATCTTTAGCCCGATTCTGTCGCGAAGATACAAATGTCGCAGGGGTCCATCCTTCCTTGGACCTGACGGTGTTGAAGTACCTGAGCAAGAAGCACTTTTTAGTGTCGCTGTTCCATGCGAAGGATGGATCGTGAGCTCACCCGGCGCTGAAACCACCGGTGAAGGCGCCATGCAAGCGTTTCCTTCCCCGGTCATCGGTTACTTCCTGTTTCCAGATCGGCATGTAGGATCCATCGTCGCGCACGTTGGGGTCGAGTGGGGGGAGGGGCGTTCCATAGAAGGCGTAAGGGGATTGGTGGGCTTGGAGGTCTTCCTCGAAGGCTGCGCGGGTTCTTTTGCTGGCCATGGTTTATTATAGCTTAGGGGGATTCATTCTGGATGGAGATTCCATGTCGTCAATTTTCAAACTTCTCACGGGTATCACAGTAGTGTAACAGGTACAACCCACCCTGTGCGATATGCAGAAATTAAGGGAGGCGATCCGAAACAAGCTGGAATCGAGGTGACTGAGAGAGTGAAACACTGGCGCAACTGTTTGCAGAAGAATGAAATGACGAGGCCGCGTGGAAAATGTACCGCCACGATGAATGTGGCTAGTGACCCTACTCCGGAGTACGTACAGAGCAGAACCCATAACAAAACATTAATGCAAAAAGAAAGAAAGAAAGAAAAAAAAAGAACTTTTAAGAGTCATGAGAAATATGCTGTCAGTTTCTCGTGCTCGATTTGTGCCCAAGTCAGCTGTCTCTACAGTCTTCTGTAGTATACAGTACCGAGTGCTACTCTGCTGTACTGCTGTATTGCTGTACTGCTGCTGTACATGTCCATCGTAATGTCTGCCACAGCACGATTCTATTTATTCTCTCTTCTCTAAATAAGGTCGTCCTCTGTTGTATAAGTCCTCTGTATACATACTACTGTATAGTGCTGTAAATAGAACGCATGCCCCTGGCCCCGTTTTGTTTCTCCGCAGCCGCATCTGCTTCGTTTCTCATTATTCTCTCACTCACCACCTTCTCTCATCTTCTCTCCATCTCGTCTCACCTTTTCCTCTTTTTATTTACTGTTTCTACTCTTTTCAATTGCTTGCTTCTATTCTTCTTTTCTCTCTCCCCTAAGAACTCTCATTGACGTCTTTGAGCCTGACGTGACCTAGTCAGCTCCCCGCTCCCCGACCGTCTGCAACCGTTGCCCGAGTCGTTCTTTTATTCCTCTTGACTCTCTTGGCTGGTCTATTTATTCTACATTATCTCCCGCCATTTCCTCAACCAACCTAACCGATCGATCGGAATATACCATAATAGATCTGGTTGACTGCTCGTGCGCTGGGGATTCGTCTCGCCCCGGGGGGTAGAGAGTGAAAGAGGGTACAGCTGTTTTTTCTTTGATCTGTCCTACCTGTTCGTGATGTCCACTGCTGCCTCATCATCTGCGTCGCCAACGGTTGTTCGCAGCCATTCTACCTCGTCTCGTCCCCAAACCAACGGTCCGCCCTCGTCCGATCTTCCCCATCGAACTAGAAGTGTCGCGGTTCGGCCCTCAACCGCATCCCAGCCTTCCCAGCCGCCCCATCAATCCCAACACCTCCAGTCCCCTGGCCAACTTAGAACACAGGCCTATGAGCGCCATCCTCCCCCGTCCAATAAGGCTGTTTTTGACAATTTAGCTCGTCGCGATCCCGAAGTCGCTAGAGGAAATCATCCGCCTCCCACTCGTCGCAGTTATTCCCGAGAACGTTCCCAGGAACGTGCCGCCGCATACCACTCTGATACCGCCCCGAAGAGACACCAGCGCAACCTTTCCGTTCAGGGTCACCAACGCGACAGCATCGACATGGCTACGGCTGGAGCTGCCACGGCCGAAGGGTCTACCGGCCCTCCACAGGCGGGCTCTGGTGCGCAAGTGCACTCTGCTGCGTCTGCGGCACCAAAACGTCGCACCATGATTACGACGCCATCCGGCCAGTGGGCGCTCGGGAAAACGATTGGTGCTGGTAGTATGGGAAAAGTAAAATTGGCAAAGAACATGGAAACCGGTGAACAGGTGAGTTCATCCTCCTTCGCTCGGGAGGCAAGGTTAACATGAATGTAGGCGGCCGTCAAGATTGTACCTAGACAGTCCTTCGAAGAGCATCGCAGTGCGCGTGAGGCGGAAAGGGCCGATCGCTCCAAAGAAATCCGAACCGCCCGTGAATCCGCCATTGTTAGTCTCGTGAGCCATCCGTACATCTGTGGCATGCGCGATGTCGTGCGCACCACCTACCATTGGTATATGCTCTTCGAATACGTCAACGGGGGCCAGATGCTCGACTATATCATTTCGCATGGCAAACTCAAAGAAAAGCAGGCCCGCAAGTTTGCCCGACAAATCGCCAGCGCGTTGGACTACTGTCATCGCAACAGCATTGTTCACCGTGATCTCAAGATCGAGAACATTTTGATCAGCAAAACGGGTGACATCAAGATCATTGACTTTGGTCTGAGCAATCTGTTTTCCCCAAGAAGCCTTCTCAAAACATTCTGTGGCAGTCTTTACTTTGCCGCTCCGGAACTGCTGCAGGCCAGGCAGTATACCGGACCCGAGGTTGATGTATGGAGTTTTGGAATTGTTTTATATGTTTTAGTATGCGGAAAGGTGCCTTTTGACGATCAGAGCATGCCGCAGCTGCATGCGAAGATCAAGAAAGGTAATGTCGAGTACCCACAGGGACTCACTAACGGTAAGCTTCTCTTACGACATATATTCCCGAAATGCGCTTACTGAGCTGGTCTAGAGTGCCGCCACATCATTTCACGCATGTTGGTCACGGATCCAAAGCAACGTGCCAGCTTGACGGAAATCATGAGCCACCCTTGGATGAACAAAGGATTCAGCAGCCCGCCAGAAAACTATCTTCCCACCCGTGAACCAGTGCAGCTCCCATTGGATTCCGATGTGATTGAGAAAATGACAGGATTTGACTTTGGATCGCCGGAGTACATTACAACGCAGCTCACCAAGGTCATCGAGTCGGAGGAGTACCAGAATGCCGTGAACAACTATCGCGAGCAACCGCCCCCGAGTCTGCCGGAAAAGAAGCGGGGGATGTTTGAATTTTACAAACGGCGGAATTCGGCCAGCAGAGATACTCTGTCGAATCCTTCTGCCGAGGCCGTACAGCTTGGAAGCGATCCTCTGAATGCGTACAGTCCGTTATTGTCGGTGTACTATCTAGTCAAGGAGAAGCTGGATAGAGAACGAACCGAGACCAAGCCCGGTGCTCTTGGTCTGCCACATGGAGCCGGTGACAGCATGCTGCAAATGCCGGACCTTCCGGCGCCAGAAGCCGCTCATACCAACCAGTATCAAATCCCCGGGGAGAGTGATACTGGTCGCAGATCCCGTCCTAGGGCCAGGACCCACGGTGATGATGAACTTGGGGATGGTGTCAAGAACCTCAACCTTGGCCCGCAGCCTGGACAGGCGTCGTCTGCCCAGCCTGGATCCCAGCCAGGAACCCCTGCGAAGAAGGAAAGCACTGCTGCAGGCATCTTGAGACGATTCAGCACGCGTCGAACCAAGGACCGCGGCCGTGATACGGAGCGTCCTCAGTTCGGACATAGCCACACACCGTCGTTGAACGTCCAGCCACCTGCAGACTCGGCTTCTCCTCTTCACCGTGGATTCAGCATGAGGAGAGCTCGACGAGCGGACCCATCGCCAACAAATTCTGGTGGCAGCCAAGCACACAATGATCATCTCAAGGCACCTGGATCGGCAGAGCAGGCCTCGCGATCCAACAAGTTTCTGGAAAGGTCTACCAGCGTCAGTTCCGCCGAGAACCGAGCGCAAAGGGCAGCCCGCCGTGGTGGTGACGCTGATACATTAGACTTCGCGGACGGGCGGCAACCGCCTGCAACCAGTGGATCAGACCATGTGGCGGTTAATGACACTGCAGGACGGACATCTAGAGCACCCATGCGCACTCATAGTACGCGTACGGTGTCGCTTGGTCATGCCCGTCGTGAGAGTATACAGGCACGAAGAGCCAGACGGGAGGCTGCCCGGGAGTCCAACGTGCCGGAGGAGACGGATGCAGACATCTCCGGGGCTGGAACTGCGTTGGAAAGTGCCAACGAAGGAGAGGACTTGTCGAAGCCGGTCTACCTCAAGGGTCTCTTCAGTGTATCGACTACTAGCAGCAAGCCTCTCCCGGTCATCCGGGCGGATATCATTCGAGTGTTGAAGCAACTTTCTGTGAGCTATCAGGAAATCAAGGGAGGATTCAGTTGTCGACATGCCCCAAGCATCGATCTCGACAAGGTGGTGGATGTCGGTCCCCCAAGTCCGGATCGCCAAGGCCAGGTCTCGAATCACCGGAGGCGTATCAGCCTCGGAGGACTCTTGAACCACGAGGAGCGCACGCAACGTCGATCACAGCAGCAAAACCCCCCAGACCGCAGTTTCGTCTCGAACTCCGAATCCGACGAATACGTCACCCCCCGGAACCAAAACGTCGGTGAACGCGTGGTCGGCGAGACAACGACGCAAGTGCAAAGCGATACAGGCGAGAACATGATTCTGCGGTTTGAAATCCTCATCGTGAAAGTGCCGCTGTTCTCACTGCATGGCATTCAATTCAAGAAGGTGGCCGGTGGAATGTGGCAGTACCGGGAGATGGCGAAGAAGATACTGGATGCATTGAAGTTGTGATTTGTTCACGTCTGTAAAGAGGGAGGGGGATGTATGAGCCATGAGATTGTTTGCATTTACTTTTCATTTGTTGTGTTACTTTGGTAGAACCATATCTGATACGAAAACCGGTCATCATATATGATGGAATTGCATGAGCATGTCATCTTGTCACTTATTTAATTTATCATTTCGTGTGGTTTGAGTCCTGTTGTTGTCGAAGGACTCAGTTTGTGCTGCATCCCCAGCCTCGTTGACTGGTTGCTCATTGTCATTGTCGAGGATTGCTTGCCATGTGTATACATATTGGACTAATAGTGTTGTTTTGTAATTCATAGATTTCGCGATTTAGCACAGAATGTTTGCTTGCGGTCAGCTTCACTGTCACTTCGATCTCAAAACACTTGGGTTTCCACTGGTAAATGCACTTAGCCCTACTTCCAAAAACAGGCTAGCAGTTTTTCTAAATCTACTTCTCTGTGTCTTACTGGATCTTCTCTTCTCCATCTACTCTTCGTTACGAACCTCTACTCTATTATACGAGTGCACTATAGGATATAGTGTCCAGAGATGACAGTCTGAATCAATGTTGAAGTGGCTAAATATTCTAGGTCTATAGACCTGCGAAGATATCTTTCTTCAACCTACTTTTATCATATTTCGCTATATAATTAATGAGCTATACGACTAAGAATGTCTTGGTTTTGTCCTTGTGCCAATTCCTGTGTTATGTCGGCAGACGAAACCGAGGCCAATGGTTTCCCCGATTAAAGCACATGCTTTAACGAAGCTGTAAATGATTATCTGATAGCTGGTCCGTTTAAGACGAAGAACATCATCGCCTATCTATTCTACGTGCTCATAATGTTCGCTGTGGCCTTACAGCCTTCTGAGAAACAAAGACGGCCTCCATGATCTACGGCTTAAGTCTCCATGATATTCCCAGTGCCATACTGGGCTCTCATCGGAAACAAGGCAGCAAAACGCTTACACTCACGTCTTATTATCTATCTTCTCCCATATGTCGTCTCATTGATATCGGCGGCGTCTGTGAGCTTATATTCGGATGAGATTCACAAACGCATTACCTGCACAAGGAAGAGGAAGCGCCAGACAGAACGGCGGGTTTGAATCGCGCCCAGATACAGTCTACCCAAAACGCCAAAATGGAAGGTTTGCCGGTTATGATACCCGCTGGCACTGGATGGTTAGACGAACGAGAACCGGGAAGAATTCTTGGCTACTACGGCGTGCGGAAGGTGCATTTATCGATCTGTACGAGATTCACGAAACGCTTTACACGACAGTCTGAGATTGAGGGATGATGTTACAAGCATTTTGTTGCCGCGTTCTTCGTGGTTACGAAGGTCTTATTAACCACACTGGCTTACCATCATCTTTACAGCAGCGCCTCGATCAACATCGGGACGATTTTATGCAGAACCTCCCAAGGACCATTGTAAAATACCTCGTCTTGCCCTATAGCCAAACAGGCCAAATTAGTCAAACACATCATGCCTCTGGCGAGCGCGAGCGCTCCGTGACAGATAGCTGACTCCCACCGGACATCACACGATTTCAAACCGGGTTAATGCGATCATTCAAACAGTCTAGCAAGGACTCCTATTTTTTTTTATTCAAGATTGACCATGAACCCGCTTGACAGGCTGAGAGTGACCCCTATGTCGGCCTGGTTTGTCTTGTCTTAGTGCGATGATATTCCGGGTCTGATGATCTCCATTTTCAATAAATATCCAGTAGGATAATAGTATTGACCAAACCCTAAGTCAAGTATTTGTCAACAGGTTAAGGCAACCATGTCAAAAAGTTGAGCGGCACTGGGGAGGTGATGCACCTGTGACGGCCAGGTCACGTTGTCTGGCCATCACGTGAGATGCAGTTGTTTGCTTTGTTGATAAATACGGCGTCACCTCCTTTCTTCCTTCCTCATGTTGATTATTCTCGTCGATAGCGACCTAGGTAGAACCCATGAGTTGGATGTTCCATTATCCTAGTAGAGCGCCGTGACAGCACCATGATACCATCTCACTAAACCAACTCCGGGCCGGCTGAGGACTGCTGGGGTGCGAGGATTTCCAATTATATTCATGTCGGTCTGTAGATATGTGCTGCAGAGCAGTAATTATGATTTCCGATGGCCAACAGCAGCACCCGAGCCGCCATTATGCCCGGGCCGAACAGGGATAAACCGTTCAAAGCGGCCCGGGGGTTGTAAGTTATAACCCCAGGGTTGGGGTGCGAGTATTTATACGCCCACTGAGCGCTGAGTCAGCCCCGCATTCCATGCCAGCTAAAAGAACCAGTTCAGGATTAATCGCCAACCCATACCCTATCGATTCAGACTTAGTTGTTATAAACTATATCAACCAGTCCAGAAAAATTAAGAGAATTGGTTGTAAGGGTTAAATGCATAAAAATAGGAGGTTCAGATATACGCCTTCTGATTGGCCAGATTGAATCCCTTATATCCGCTGCAAAGGACAAGGGGAAAAGTCGTTTTGTTTAAGTGTTTCTCGCACGTTTTCTTGCCTTGTTGGCTTCTATTTGATATACATTTGCCAGCAGATTTCTCAACTTTCACTCCTTGAACTGCCTCCCAATACACTCATTCTGCGCAGCAGATTGACTACAAGTCTTACGAGGCCTTTTTGAATACATTTGCATTTATTTTGAAATTGATAGCATACTGATTCTTGATTTTCTTTATATTGACCCTCATATTGTCTGAGACCCCTTCTGATATCAACCTACCTTACTCAGCACTGACTAAGCTGCCCCTTTGGCAATGGCCCTTCATCCCCAGCCCACACCACCTGCTCCTGAGCTCACCAGGACTCCAGACCCCAGAAATTTCAGCCTTCAATAATTCTAAAGACTTCTTTATTGAATCTGTTGCATGAAGTGATAGCTTGCTTGAGCTTCAGTCTTCACCTGCTTGGCAGCTTCTCTTAACTTGCTCCACGCCCACAGGCAGCTCATGTGGCTCAACTGGCCAAGCAGGCAAGATGGTAATCGATCTGACGCGGGACTCGGACTCTGATGAGGTAGGTCTTGTTGCACAGCTTTTTATATCATCTCTGCCCTCTGGCCCGAAATACATTCTTCCCGCGCATTTCCGCGACCCCGTCTCACAATCCATAATTTTATATTCCATCCCCTAAAATTTTAATACCCACCGCCTGTTATCTTGCCCATTTCTACCCAATTCATCCGTTCCGCGTTACCACTTACCGCTTCTGATCATTTACAAACTCATTACCACTTAAGCGCCAAGTCAGCTGACCTGATATAGCAACAACATCAACCACAAAAAACCATCCACTCATTCTTCTCCAACCTTCCTCATCGCTCTCCCTCCTCCTCAAATCAATTGAAAAGAAAAAATAGAGGTTCCGAGGATACTTCTGTGTCATCCCATCGTTTCTCGCCCGCAGTCAATGGCTCAGCCAACCATAACAACTACAATTACAGTAATAAAAGCAGCAGTACCAATGCCTCCAAAAAACCCTTCCCAGCCCCAGAACAAGAACCCTTAATCTCAAACGGCCCAACCCCCAGCCCGGAAACCCAACAACAAAAAGCCATCAGTGTCGTCATCCCTTCGCCCTCCCAGCAACTAAGAAGAGAAATCCTCAACTCCGAATGGACCCGCGTCGACACATCATTTAAACTAACCGGTATATCGGAAAAATACTACCCAACTGATGCTTACGAGAAACGCGCGCAAAAGGGCGCTTACCCTGCCAGGAAAATAAAAAAAGACTACAACAACCGGAGTAATATCCCCCTGGAAATAGGCCAGACAGGACCGAGTCCGATTCTGACTGCTCAGCCTTACACTACAGTACATCAGCAATTGGCCAAATCGTTTTTGCGCAAGTTATCTAAGATTCAGGGTCCGCCGGTGACACTGGCACGCGGCGATGAACGGATGTTAACTGATTTTGCGGCGAACTTTGAATTCATCAACACTTACAAAATCCGGAAAGGTGTGCAGCCCGTCCCGGAGTCGTTCAATGGGGGATGCGACTGTGGACCCGGGTGTGATCCGCGTCGGTGTACTTGTCTGTCCGAGGAGGAGCATTCGGATGACAAGATCGTGCCGTATCGGGCTGCGACTGATAAGCCGGGGCTGATGGTGTTGACGCCGGATTTCATGAAACGCACGTCGATGATCTATGAGTGTAGTTCGCGGTGCGGGTGTAGGAGGAAATGCTGGAATAGTGTTGTGCAGAAGGGGAGGACGGTGCGGCTGGAGATTTTTCATACTGGGGATCGTGGATTTGGTATGTCCCACTCCCCTTGCCATTTCTATTCAAATCCAAAATGCTAATAAAGCAGGCCTCCGCTCCCCCGACCCCATCCGCCGCGGTCAATTCATTGACTGCTACCTAGGCGAAGTCATCCCCAAGAAAACCGCCGACGTCCGCGAAGACCTCGCCGCCTCTACGCATGGACATTCTTATCTTTTCGGGCTCGACTTTCTCATAGACGACGACGACATCTATGTCGTGGACGGCCAAAAATTGGGCTCACCGGCTCGGTTCATGAACCATTCATGTAACCCCAACTGTCGCATGTTGCCTGTCTCCCGGACACATGGTGACGAGCGATTGTACGACTTGGCTTTCTTTTCGTTGAGGAGTATCCCGGCGAATACAGAGTTGACGTTTGATTATAACCCGGGGGCTGTCCGTACTAACTCTACTGCATCTGGATCTGGGGTTGGGGGTGGTGCGAAAGGTCAAAAAGAGAAAATTGACCCGAGTGCTGTTAAGTGTTTATGCGGGGAGAAGAATTGTCGGGGGCAATTATGGCCTAATCAACGAAAGGGTACGAAGTGATGTTTTTTTTTTTTCCTTTTTTCTTGTTACTCCTAAGTATTGGTGTTGTGTTGTTGGCGTTGCATGTCTGGTCATTGGTGGTTATCTTCTTGTTTTCTTTTTCTCTTTTCTTGGGCATTTGGGCTATTTATTTAATTCTAATACCCGAGCATGTCTTCTTTTCTTTTCTATTTTGTGTAAGTGGAATGTACATAGCGTGTCATGGCCGAACCATGGATCGAATCACTAGTTTATCGGAGATTTATCGATCTGCTTCATACTTTCATACTTCAATGACCGGTTTCAATAAGTAATGAACATATATTCTGCATAGTTGGTATTCCTAATTAAATAAAACACACCAAACTCCATCCTACAATACCCAGCAGACCAATTGCAATTGACCAGACCAACCCATGTAGATATTGAAATCAAGAAACCACCCATCATCTCAAAGGAGAACATAGAATCAAGCTTCCCCCGCCAAAACCTCCTCAATCCCACCCATAACAAACCGCGGCTGCGCAGGCAACGACGTCGGTAGCACCGGCGATAAAAACCCAGCGCTCAAACTCTGCATCGACGATCGCGATCCCAATCCCCGCTCATCACCGCTACTCATATCAGAGACAGGTACAGGCGCAGGGGCTGGATCAACAGGCCTCGGCTCCAACAATCCCACCCCCTTCCTCTCAGCCGCATCCTCATCACACCGCGCGCGCTCTTCACTAAGCGCAAGATCGATCTTCGACGGTCGCCGACGCAGCAAGAACAGCAGCGATGAAGATGGCCGGCGGAGCGCGTTGAGATGGTGGTTCAGGCTCAGGCGGAAGGAAGCCTGGCTTTGACTGCGGCTGCGACTTTGACTCTGCTCTTTATTTTCTGTCCCGGTAGTTGTAATTAAGGAATTATCGATTTTATTATCGCTGGCAGGGAACCAAGCCTGTCGACAGAGCCGTCTAAACGGCGATGTAGGCGAGGACGCGGGAGATGTTGTTGTTGAGCTTAGTGGGCTGACTGTCGAGCAGTCGCTGCGGGCGTAGGAGGCGGAATTGGGAGGGGAGGAGGAGAAGGAGGTGTGGAGGGAGAGGTGGCCCATGGGGGAGGGGGGTGGCGCTTTTTTGGCGTGCATGTATGTAGTGTGGTATGGTGCGGTATAATGTGGTATTCTGGTGTAGGATAGGTGTTTATGTTTATTTCTTGCGATTCGAAACTCGTCTGGGTTATGTGAAGCTGATATGACGAATCTCGAATCTCGAGGCTGACAGATAGGCTGATAGAGAGCGGACGGGGGCGCGATGCGATCGGAAGTGTTCTGATTCGATAGAGTGAGTGAGATGGACAGTAAGACGAGTCTTATAATAAAATAAAAAGTGAGAGCGAGTGTGATATTAAGAGAGTGTGTTGTTAAAAGAGAAAAGAGAGACAGTTGAAATGCCAATGGCAATGGAGATCGACGCTAGACACAATAGCAGTCACTAAATAGTGGATGCCCCCAAAAGAAAATTGAAACAAGGCGAAGCAAACGCCGTTTATATATTCCTGTTCCTGTAATTATTATAGTCCCGATGACAATAACAATACCAGAACATAACAATGCACGACAGACTGAGTTTGGTGCCTGCAAGGACCGTGTCTTTTGTATAGCCTCATACCCGCCGGATGCGGCCAGCCTTCATTTTACCAGGGCATATACTTTATTACATTGTCTGCAGACATCTACATAGCAAACTCAATGCAACGCCGCATATGGCTCAAACAGCCGGTGTTCGACGATTCCCCTCATTCTCCGGATCGATTTTCAATCGAATGATGACATTGGAATGCTGCACGCCCGTTCCCGGTCCCATTGTGACAGTTGACGTTTCTTATTTCCTGATGCATTCGGTAATTGTAGATTCAATTGATACCATGAATATACACTAAAGACATATATAAAAAAAAAAAAAAAAAAGAAAAAGAAAAACGCCGCTGCTATGCAATGGTCTTGTCACACTATACATCCGGCCAAAAGTAACAGAAGACATCCCACGTCTTATCACCAATTATCGTAATCCCATTAATCATTCCCCCATATCACTCCCCCCAATACCACCACCCTTAGACATAGATCAACTATCCCGATCTCCCGATCGTCGCTGCGTAAAACTCCGCCGGATGCTCTCTCCCCAGGCCGAATTGCCCAACGACTGCATAACATCATTCACGCTCATCGCGCCATGCTGTCGCGAATGCTCAGCTCCTCCCGTTTCCGTGTCTAATCCAGGGTCCTCGGTACTAGGTCCCGGCGGCGGATCGTATGAAGAAGTCGTATGGGCGCGTCCGCGTCCCGTAACCAGTGATGGACTGATGCTCGACCATTCTGTTGCTGGCGAGTTGGAGGCGGACATGCGGCCTGCCAGGCCGGTGTCGATCCGTGGGAGATTGTGGCGACCGGTACCGGTTGTCGGGCTGGTGTCGCCTCTAGGTAATGTGGGCGAGAGCATTGGCTGCGTGTCTTCGTCGCTGTCGTTGCGGCCTCCGTAGTTGCTGTCGCTGCTGACGTTGTCTGAGACATCGCGCGAGAGATCCGGTTGGTCAGGGTTGCCATCGTGGTATTCACCGTCGACGAAGATCTCCGGGACTGTGAATGTTGGTACCCCGCTCATGCGTGCGGATTTCTTCGAATCGACCTTGCGCCGGAACTCACGCGACCAGTACAGTGTATCGAAGAACCCGACAACTGTGTTGCGCTGCACGGCCTCTTCCACACGCTGCAATCGCGCGCGACGACGGAGGAATTCTTCGAGCCGTAGACTCTTGCTGTCGTTGATCACGTTGTGATGCGCGAGGATCATCAGACACGAGTGGAATGAGATCCCACGCTGCGCGTCTGCGGATACCAGTACCTCTTCATAGAACGTGTTGAGTCGCTCTCGCCGGGTTTGGATTGATTTGACCGGCATCTGGCTGAGGATCCGCGACAATGCATCAAGGTCCACACCATCCACAACTCTCCGGTTTCCCAGAGGCGATTTCTGAGGATCAACCCTACATCTTTCCAGAATGCGTCCAATAGTATATGCGCCATCATGAATACGCATGTCAAAGACACCCGAAAGTTCCTGTTACAGTTAACACCCATCCGTAGACAATAGATAAAATGAGAAATACCCCAAGTAACCTCGGAAACTGCTCCTTGGAGATAAAACCAACCCCATCCGGATCAAACGTCGCCCACGCATGTTTAAATCTCCGGATTTCCTCCCGACTGACCACGTACAACCCACTACTCCGCTGATACACATACGAGAAACTCTCGAAGATCAGCGACACAAATAGCGAAACAAAGATATACATGCTGATAATGTTCCACGCAATGAACAGCGATCGTGCCCATGCCGCACTACCACAGTCATCGTTGAAGAAATCCTCGCTATACGTGCACCGCGGTGGCTCCATCGTCGCGAAATCCTCCATCAGCTCGTTCCACCCCTCACCACAACTCGTCCGGAACAGCAGGACAAGCGCCCGCGGGATGTCTCGGAAGTTGATATTGTTGTCCTCTTCGTCACCAAACTTGGTGAGTCCAAATGCTTGATTCATGGCGATTGCGAATGCAAGAAACAACACAAACCATGTGGCCAAGAGATTGCCGATCGCGGTCAAACTCGCAGCTGCCGTCTTGAAGAGCTGGTCGAGCTGGTTGTTCCGCGGAATGAGCATGAGAGTGATGGCTACCAGAAAGAGTTTGCCCAGAACGTCAATCGCATGACTGTTCGGCATGGTAAATTGTAGGATCGTCGTAATAAATGTGCCAGGGACAACGAGCATTGCAAAAAGATCCCAAGAGCTTCTGCTAAATCGGTGCCAGCCGAGCCCGATCATCCGAATGACAAGATTGGCAATGTAAAAGAACGTAAAGCAGAAGAACAGGATTCGCCTAATAACTTCCCATATCGGTGGCTCATCGTGGAATTCTAAGATCAGCAGGGCCAAATGCAGAAGGAGAATGGTTGTCACACATCGCGCCCATCGACCATGCTTCTTTACTGCAATGCGATAGCTCCAAACTCGCCAGCTCTTGCTGCGGTCATTCTGGAACGATCGTTTGGACGGCGATACTTGTCGTAGATGCTTCCGTAGCTCCAGCCAGGAACGCTGTTCGGCCGTCAGGAAGGCCACTCCCGTCTGTTCTGTGTAGTTGCGCATAAACACAGACACAAAGAGTGTCAACACGAAGACCGCACCAAGCAAGTTGAACACCACAAATAACATCCCATTCTCCGGTGCAGCCCCGTCTTGCGGCTGGTTACCCTTCCCAGTGACTTTCATCGCACTTTCTTGGACATCAACCCAGCCTTCTTGGGACACAATCTGGAACAGGATGAAAAGTGCATCACCGAAGTTGTCGAAATCGAACCATGAATTAGATGCCGCTCGTGGTGCCAGGATTTCCCAGTTGGAAGGTTTATTCTTGAATTCATTAACGCAAATTGCCAAATCTCCAACGAATTCATCGTCATTGCACTCGACCATTTGACCGTTGAAAAGGTTGACCCCATAGATAGCGAATGGGACCAAGAAACTCATCGAGACGGCAGCAGCGGAAATGACCTTCCACCCTCCAACAACAATAACCGAATGGAAAGTATCCTTAGCGCTATCACTGACGTTCAACAGTCTCAATGCCCTCAGAGCCTTGAATGCTCCAATAGCCCTCGAAACACCCCAATCTTGATTCAACGAACTAGCGACATTGATCCAAAGGGTAATCAAGACAACACCGTCAATAAACCCCCAAGACCCACGAAAGTATGCATTAGGTGTCCAGAAGAAACCATCAGCAATGACCTTAATAACCGCCTCTGCTGTGAACAGAATCGCAAAAGCCATATCCGTGTATACGAACCACTTCCCTTTACTCTTATCAATGAAATAATCTCGTTGATAAATTGGCGTTGTATAGCACGCAAGAAGAACCATGGCAACGATTGCTGCGTAAATGAATGCAGAAAACGCATACCAAACTGGCTTGTAGGGGTTCACGCCTTCAACTCGCTGGTGCCCACGGCCAGGGCCCACGATGCGCTGGCAAAATTTCCGAATGGGATGATTGGGCTTAAAAAGGAACAGTGACTTGTTGTAATTCGGATGATTGACTAGATAGTCTCGCTGTGCTCGCTTTCTTTGCTCCGCGGCCGTCACAACCTCCTGGGCCATTGTTTTCGGATCCAATTCTTCATATGCTCGCGAAAGTTGGAGCTTTGAGTAGAATGGATTGGGCTCTCGGCGCATTATAGAACTTGTAACCCGTGTCCACATCCGCGAGAAGAAACTTGGCTGCGCGGGATCTTCCACCATGGCATCAAGAGGAGCGCTTTCTCGTCGGCCGCTTTCTGCGGCAGGCGTGCTGGTTTGGTCGTCTAAGAACTCGTGTACGACAGCGTCCTTTAGGAGCAATTCCAAAGCTGCTGGGCCGTGGTCCAAAGGATCCTTGTAACGTTCCGAATTCCTTCCTAACATAAAAATCTTCGAAAGCGCCAGATTTCCCTGCGAGGTTCCATTGAGCTGCTTTTGTTCCAAAAACGCTCGCACCTGGTGAAGACGTTTCTCATCTTCTGAAACATCAAAACTCTCTTGAATGACAGCAATGAACATATTCAGAACAATAAAGTTGGCCAGGATGAACCACATGATCAGAAATGTCGCAGAAATCCAGGCTGTATGAAAACCTGCTGTGTTCTCAGTTGAACTGTACAGAATGTCGGTCCAATTTTCACTAGACAGAATCTGATACATTCCCAAGAACGAAATGTAGATATCAGAGAACGAGGCGGTAGCACCGACATCCTCTTTACGAATTTGACCACGGAAAAGTTGCGTCGCAAAGAGAGCAGCTAGGTAAGTGATCAGAAACACGAAGACGATAAGGTTGAACAAACCGACGACATTGCGGAAAACAACCATGATGAGGTTCCTTGTCATCGAAAACGCCATGACGACGCGATACACTCGAAGGATTTGGAAGATACTGAGGGCGGCATACGGACGGCCAGAGTCTCGGATCGCAGGAATCTGAAGGATTGAGGTAATGACTGCAAGTCCTAAATCGAACCAGTTGCGCTTCCTTGTGTGAAATATGCGCCAATCCGATGCAAAACGTAGGATAATTTCAAGGAGTAAGACCAAAGTGACAACGCGCTCAGTGGTATTTATGAACTCTTCTCGGTCGTGCTCCATGGATGCACTTCGGAGGGCCTGTACAATAAGATCGAAGCCGATGACGATAACCCAAAACCATTCAGTCTTGTCATAAAGACGTTTGAGGCTGCTAATCTTGCGAGCAGATAAATCTTCCCTATCAGGCTCATCGATATTGTGGACAGCAAAGGCACTTCGTTTGCTCTCTTCGCGAATGACTTGAAACGAGTGGGTAATCACGGCAACCAAGAGGTTAACCATCCACAGGCTGAGAATCACAATCCCGACGGCGAAGAAAAGGGCAGACGCGAGATAGTCGCTGTTCGCGGTATAGTACATGATATCTGTGAATGTATTCGAGCTCATAATCACGAAGATGAGTTCCAACGAGTTAAAAATATTGTCGAAGCTCACAGTACCGCCGCTTGGATTCTCCTTTTCGATGCAAATCGAGCCTACAGGGCAAATGTACCCCTTGGGTCCAGAATTCGTTCCGTCACCCCCGATCCATGGCATTTGCGTCCCGTTTTCGTGTAGCCAGCCGCCACAGAACTGTTCCTCCTGAGTATAGTTTTCTTGTCCGTCTTGGCCTATCCAGACACAATTTCTCAGTAAACTTGATTTGAAACTCTGAATACCGACAATGGCAAAAAGAAGCCAGAAAAAGGATACGAGGAAGCCAACGTGAACAAGTAAGGGTGCAGCTTTCTTGAGACTCCGAAGAATTACGGAAGTACCGTTCGTGAGCGATAGAAGGCGCAGGAGCCGAAGACAACTTAGCATACTGAAGACATACAGCTGTTGGCGAGACTCGACCCCGGAAATCTGAAGGACAAAAGAGACCCAGTATGCAGCCACGGCGACAAAATCGAGCCGGTTGAATGAATGACGGAGGAACGCACGATGGGCAAGTCTCACACGTCGTCTCTGGAGAGGATCATCGATCAACTCTTCCACCTCATGATTATCCAAGCCACCCGTGAAGGTTCGTATAATAGAGGCCTGCGGTTCGGTTGGAAACATTGAAGTCTTTTTCATTGAGAATTGCCGTTGGGGCGTGATTAGACTTTTCCCCTTCTCAACCACTGCATTCTTGAAACCGAGGCTGCGATCCAGAGTACTGTACTCAGCCGGGTTTATTATGAGACCCGATACCAGTATTTTGGCTGTTTGCTCAAAAGTATAGATCACGAAGATAACAAGATAGCAATAATCAAGAGGCCGTTGTCCCCAATTTTGAGGGCGGGGATCATCATCCACTGACTTGGCTGAGTCAATAGTCAAGAGGATCATTTGGATTACAATAACCAGTAGAATGAAGGGTTCTGTAAATGGATGGACCAGCACGTCGCATAAGCGCACCCGGATAGGGTTGTTTGGTCCCAGTAGCCCGAGCGATTTCCCTTTCAGTGGGTTACTATGCTTCCACCACGTTGCATATGGTGAGTGCTTGTTATTGGGTGTTTGGCCGCCGGCTTGAGAGCTGCTAGACGGTGCATCATGAGCATAGTCCGCTAGATTAGGCAGTGTTGGGGGCTTGTCCAAGCGCGCATTCTTGTAGGATTCTTCCCTCTGTATTGATTGCTCGACGACTTCTGGTTCGTTACTTAAGTTGACAACACGCTGCGACATATTCTTCATCATCGAACTCGCGCGTTGCAAGGCAGAGCCCGAAGCCGACGGGGACAACGAACGCGACCGCTCGGTACCCCCGCTACTGCCGCGACCCCTTGGGCCCATTCCGTTCTCCAAGTGTGGTAGATCATCGCCTAACCGCGCCGACTGCGTACGACTGGTCGCAAAGTTGACGTTGTGTACACTGCTTCGGTCATCTGGGGCGCCATCCGAAGAACCGTGAACCCCACTTATTGGCTGAATGTTCCTCTGAGCCGTCAATGGGGCTTCATCCTCGCGTATATCGGTAGGAGAGAAATAGTAGTCGGGGTCATTGTAGCTGTAGGGGCCTAGCGGTATGATATCGAACTCCGACCCGCCCTCGTCCCGACTGCGCCGTTCAGACTGAGGCTGAGGATCACCAAAACTGAGTCCGACAGACGCAAAGGCGAATGCTGCGGGGTCTTCAATGGAATGCTCATCTTCTTCGCGAAGGGGGTAGGAGCGTGGGTTTGTCGCCGCCGCGGATGGTTCAATCGGAGAATCTTCTGCGACCCTCTCATAATTCCGCGATGATGATGGTCTTCGAAGAGATCGTCTCGGAGAAAATCTGCTCCCCACGCTGCTCCTGCGCCCTACGCCACGATCTTCTGCTAGGGGGATCTCCGCCGGCCGTGAGAGATTCTGAAGGGGGATGGACTGGCGCGGAGGACCATCGTCGTCAGGATTGCCGCGGTCGTGGCTGCTCGACGCCATCGTGGGCACAATCAAGGTATCATCCGGATCGCAGACATCGCAGGTTGTCGCAAGGTGTGAAAGAACTCGGTTATATTTCGGGGGGTACCGGCAATTCCTGTAAGAGCAGCAAAGTGTGTTAGGGAGCTGCGAGCGAATTGGCGTTTCGGCGGCAACCGTGGTCACTTACCTCCTTCCAGTTCTAGAGTAAAAGAAGAAAAAAGAGGGAAAGAACAATAGAGAAGCAAAAGTGAAATACAGAGATGTTAATGGATGGGAATAAGAAGGAAAAGAAGAAGCAGCCAGGCAGTGCAAGGAAAGACTAGAATTCCTCGACCGGCCGTAATCAAAAGCAATCCAATCACGGATCTTTGGGGGGAAGCGCTTGACTTGCCTCAGTGACGGTAAAGAGCCGCAGGCATCACCATAATCGCCTTCTTAAATTTCTTCGTCTGCCTTAGCGCTTATCGTATTGTTTCCCTGATACAAACTAGTATACATTCGTATCGCACGCGATATTCCAGATCTGTACTTTTTTTTCCCCCGATAGGACACTGTTCGCTGACCTGGGCATACATGGATTGGTCCCCGCTACGGAGTACATGCCAAAAATAACATCACCGCCGTCATCTGCAACATGTCTCGAATGCATTCCATACATGGTAAAAATAGATATAGATATATAAGAACCGAGTAATTGCCGACAGAGCTTTTGTTCATTTTTTCCTCTTGTCCCAGATGATTATTAGGTGATACATGAAAGCATATAGACTCTATGATACAACTCGGTTGGTTCAATCGGTCTCCATACGGTCCTGTCCCTTGACAAGGCCCCTAGCACCCTCGAGGAAAGCTTTAACTGCCTCGCCTCCGCCCAGTGGCACTCCTCCGCGACGTAGGAAACCTCCATTCTCCACTGGGATCTTAAGTGCCTCACTGATGCTGGGAAGACCGCCGTCCCGCAGTGCAACAGTCAGGCTGGCAAGGCTCTGCATAAACTGGGGCGAATGGAGCACCTTCCGAAGGATGCTCTTCTTTTGTGAAATTCCAAGGGAAAGCATAACAGCTTCAGCGACTTCCGAATCCTCGCCTGACACATCCTCGACGTCCGAAGCCAGTAGTAATAGCGACGGAGGCAAGTAGCTGAGGAGATTGTCGATGGTCTTATCATCCGCGGCCTCAATGAACGGCAATGTGGAAGCAGGTGTAAGAAGATCCTGTAGAGTAGTGAAAGGGTCTTGGGCCTGGCTCTGGCTCTGGCTCTCGCCTCCTCCCAGCGAATTCAGAAAGCCTTGTACAACCGATGATGGATCCGACGAATCGTTCGTTCTGAGACAAATCATGTTAGCCTGGGCTAGGTCATATGATGAGTGGGATGTATAGGGATCTAGAAGGAGAATTAAATAGGATGACAGTTGGAAGTCAAAATGAACAAATCCCAAATTGCTAGATGTCATGAAATGCATATAACGTCCAAAAAAATATGTACTGTACCTACGCTCTTCCACCTTCAGCACCACCCTCCCTCGAACCTTGACCCTCTTCTCTGATGTCTCCACCTGTCGCATCAAAGCCTGCTCCAGCGCCACTACCTCCGTGATTATGGCTGGTGTCATGGTCCACGCCCTCCACGTCTTCCATAGTCTCATCGTCATCACCACTGCCTCCAGGGCCCCGGGGCAAGTTTGCAATCTCCTGCTCCATATCAAGCTCTTCACCTTGTAGCAACGAGTTCACAATCTCTCCCAATCTGAGGTCGCGGGGGCTGAACCAGTCCAGATTTCCGCTCTCGTGCTGGGACTTGGACTGGAGCCAGAACAGATACCGCTGGGAACTAGACGAGAACTTCAAGGAGTAGATGCGACCGTTCGTAGGGGCCTGACCGGAGGGCTCGTAGGGGATGAAGCTTCCATCGGAGGGGACCATCACGAGATCCACCTCGGGCTGGGTGTGAGGAGCGCTCCTGGGGCGCCAGCAGAAGTGCACCAAATCATCCTCGGAGTAGAGGTAGATGTAGCCAGGCGTGGGCTGTGGCTTGGCCACATTCGCGGACTAACACAAGTGTAGTTAGTAACGGAAGCTGGAGGATGCAATCTTAGAGAGCAATGATGGCAGTCAACTCACATCCAGTTCGCAGATACCTGCTTTAAAGGTGAGGATCGGAGTTATCGACATCGTGCTGTCACAGTATCAACGTAATATGAGAAGTGATAGGAGAGTTGTTTCGACTAATCTGAATGCAGTCAAAACGATGGTTGTGCTTAGAGGATAACGTGGAGCTGTCCAGCCAGGATACGTCAGTTGGACTTTGTTTTGGCGGGAGCCGATTAGACTTCGCTTGTGGTCAGTCCCCGTCGCCGTAGTGATCATATCCGCCTTAGTGCCTGAGGCGGCTATCAGTCGCCCCAAATCGGCACTAGCGCCTTTCGGTTAACTGATAGGGCTCGCGTTCCCACAAACCTCAGGATTTCCCGCCCTGGGCCGCAGCAGCGCCGATAGTCACACATCCAATTCCATCAACACCTACCCGCCGTCGACAACCACTAACTCGTCCCCAGCAGCCAATATGTCGGACTCTACTGTTGGCCAGACGAAGCAGTTTGGAAAGGGCCAGAGGGTCGTTCCGGCCCAGAAGGCCCAGAAGTGGTACCCCGTGGATGACGAGTCGCAGCCCAAGAAAGTCAGTACTCCCTGCTTGCTACAAGAGTTCTGGTTTGGTCTATTTTGAAGGGATAAAAAGATGCGGTTTCCTGTGGACGAATGCGAAGATTGTGCCGGTCAGAATGAACAGTGAACTTTTGGTCCAAAGTTGGTCCAGGCCGGTGTCGATAAGAACATGAGTTTGATACGGGATCGCATCTTTACGACGCCATTGAACTGCGAAGAAAACAAGATTGGGAACACGAAAATCAGAAAAAACGTTCTAACATGGTTATTTTCGATACAACAGGTCCGCAAGACTATCCGTCCCACTAAGCTCCGGGAATCCCTCCAGCCCGGTACCGTTCTGATCCTCCTCGCCGGCCGCTTCCGTGGCAAGCGTGTCATCCTCCTCAAGCACCTCGACCAGGGTGTTCTCCTCGTTACCGGTCCCTTCAAGCTCAACGGTGTTCCCCTCCGCCGGGTGAACTCCCGCTATGTGATCGCCACCAGCAAGCGCGTCGACGTCAGCGGTGTTGACTCGGCCGCCATTGAGAAGGTCTCCGCTCCTGAGTACTTCACCAAGGACAAGGCCGCCGAGAAGAAGACCGAGGAGGCTTTCTTCAAGCAGGGAGAGAAGCCCGAGGTACGTCGATTTTGCACCGATTATGTGTGATCATGGAAAAGCGTGATAGGACTACGGCAATCACCAGGCGCTTCATGAAAAAAAAAAAAAAAAAAGGCTTGGATTCGAACAATTGCTAATACGATGTATTTGTCTACAGAAGAAACAGGTTGCCAGCGCCCGTGCCAGCGACCAGAAGTCCATCGACCAGACCGTCCTGGCTTCCGTCAAGAACGAGGAGTTCCTCAGCAGCTACCTCGCCACCTCTTTCTACCTCCGGAACGGTGACAAGCCCCACGAGATGAAGTGGTAGACGTGTGACGCGGCGGCCGCGGGTTCGGTAGTGATTGTGAGGAGGAATTTTCTCCGAGGGGCGGCTAGAAACTGCAAATGGGCGTCCCGATTTTTTCTTACATCAGGGAAGGCATTTTTTGCAGCGCAGGGAGGAACGGCTTCATGGAATATGTAACTCGATATGCGGGATCCGTTTTCTTTTTTTTTTCTAAACACTAGAATTTGTGTGGTTAATTCGGGGAAAAAACCGGGTTTTTGTTTGTTCGTTCTGTTTCACGGACTGTTCCCTTCCAGCGTGGCCCATTTGCAGGTTCTATAAAACAAAATATGCCGAAATGAGATCCAAAAAAAGGAAAAATAATACCTATCGCATGCGCTCCTAGAACCGGGGGCTTGTTTTATGTTCAGTATGATATCTCTTTATTACTAGCAAAATTGGGAATTAGGGTCTTGCTTTATGCCCTTTGTGTAGGAAACCGTCGCTGTAGGCCAATGATATTCGATTCAAATCCTCGTAGAATCGCAATTCTACATGAGTATGGAATATGGGGTACTAAAATATATTTCATTGTCACTCGTAAATCATATCCAAAATATATATCCAACTTTTGTATACATCCCCCCACACTCTAAATTTCTATCTATCGACGAAAACTCTCCCTGATCTTCCTCCTTCGTTTCTGATCAACCTCCCTAATCCTCTTTTTCGACGCCTCAATCGCCCTCCGAATACTCTCATCAATCTCATGCTCCTCCGCCTCCGCCTCCATATCATCCGCAATATTATCCCCCACACTCGTCCCGCAGATCCAATCCACGATACCCCAAGGTCCGAAATTCCCTTCTGCACCGCTGGTAAGGTGGACGTCTGTTCTGCGGGCGATTCCGCCGAGGAAGAAACTTGTTGGCATGACTGTGTAGCCAGAGAAGGCGAATGTTTCTTCGATGGAGACGATGGTTAAGTAGGCAACGTAGGTGAGCATGTGGAAGCGCAGGAGCATAGCTGGTAGATAGGTCGGGATGAAGTTGAGGAGGAGGTATGTGAGTGGGTGGTCGTAGTGTGCTGTGAGAGGGAAGGGGGCGTGGAGCGAATGGTACCAGGACTGGTGTTGTTGGGCAGCGAAATTGTTTCCACGATGGAGGACGTAGCGGTGGATAATGTATGCCAGCACCTATTATGGTCAGCATCTCCTTCAATTTGGTTATTTTAGAACGTAGACAAAAGAACCTACCTCCCTCCCCAAAGTCGCACAAACCATATCCTTCAACATCTCCCCAGGCATCGGCAATTTCATCGATACCTTCAGCGAGCTTGGCAGTACGAATAATTTCGTCCGAATCAACTCAATTACCCCCTGCAGAGCAATCCCCAGTGCCAGGTTGACAATAGCCCATCCCGCGGTCTTGATTTCCTTCCACCGGATCTTGCCTTGCTTGCTGCCAGTTGGGAGACCAGCTTCGCCTTGCGCCTTCACCACCACAGCTGCCGACGGCGTGAGGATGTCAAATAGGAAGAACAGCAGAGACGGAATGACGTAGAAGATTAAGCGCACGATTATAGTCCCAAATAATTCGACGCGAAGAGGTGGATGTGACAGGACGAGAGTGCTCCAGGTCATGTAAAAGAAGACCAGATTGAGACTCGTGCTATAGGACGAGAGGGTCGGGATGAGGAACACCGAAAGGACCGGTAATGATAAAATGGCGTCAATCATGTTGCGCTGCTCTCATCGAGGAGAATATCCAGAAATTTTTATTCAAGATCGTCAGAAGCTGCTGTGTATTTTATCGATAGTGGCGGTGATGAAGAATTCCAGCCCAACGGGGCGAGCTTGCGCTTTATATATGAATAGTTTGGGCGTCAAGGCTAGACATGTGTCACTCAAGCATAGGATAGCATATTGCCAACATATGCCCAAAAAAATCTTGTACGGTTGTCGTATGAAGAAAAGCAGATCTTCTGATACGCGCTACGTCACAAGCGACGCCTCGGCTGCTTGCCGCCCACCTTGCCTAATTGGGCATGGACTATTAGATGAACCAAGCATGGGCAAAGTTAAGAGATCTATGTAGACAGAGATACACTAGACCTCACAGCCTGCCATAATGCTGGATAGCTAACGTCGCATCCTTCATTTGTGTTTTACACGCAGAGCCTTTGGCTCAGCCGGGGCTGTCAGATTCCCCAGCCACGGTAAGTTCAGTCTTATGCCACCTGCACGCAACGAGGCATGCTTGCTGATGCTAGCTTCTTTCCTGATGAACCGGTCAATCATTTCAACATGTATGACCACAAAACTATCACAGTTGTGGATGTATTCTGGAACCATACTCATGGCCTTTTGGGAACTTATCGCGGTGTCAGCCAGCTCTCTCTTATAGCACTGGAGAGTTTCCACACAGATCTGAGTGCACATTTGGATACTATGGAGGAACTTCATTCCATAAATGGCTATCCGTGATGTCACGCGGCTCGGATATGATGCTCTTGCGAGATACTTGAGCTTCGTGTACTTCCAAGGATCATATTGCTGGCATTTAACAATTTTTAATTAGTGAAATAATAGTACTGTTAATGATAAAATTGCCATAGGCAGCGTTCAAGGGTATCTCATATATACCGCTGTCATGTCGTTCAAGGAAATTAAACCAGTCACCGGGATGCAATGGAATAACCATTCTTTACTCCCCAATTCCATGATTTCTTGCGAAGATCGGGAATGACCTGGAGGAAAACCAAGTTGCTCAGCCAGCTAGTCAATGTGTCCCGCACAAGATAGTTTCTCGGGCTCGGCCCAAGAGCAGTGCCCTTCATTATATGACCGACAAACATGGTAGTGATAAGATATTCGCCCCGCTCCAAAGCCTTGATCGCGATACTGGCAACTTCGTGCGGACCCTGTGGCTTATCAGCCTCTTCCAACTGCTTCGTTAGCCCGGGCTTTATCTTCTGTTCATTATCGAATCCTGGACTCAAGATCCCCATAGGGAAGACAGTATGGACCTTGATGTCCGCAGCCGGGCCATCGTGCATGCTACTCCGAGCACCGTTATACATCTCGATCTCTTGGCTCAGCGTGTCGGACAGGGAGCGAATCGCGGCTTTGGCAGGAGAATAGGGACCGTAACCGGCGACAGGAACGAAGGCGAGAGTGGAGCATGTAAAGATTAGATGTCTTCTAGGTCTCGGGCTCCGGTCTTGGGCGGCGACGGGGGAAAGCCAACTTCTCAATGTTGTATGCGCGGTATTTGCGGCGGTCCAATACACAGTGTCCATTTGGTCTCTCAAGGTATCAACTGGCGTGTCGACGAAAAACCCAGGGTTGCAGTATCCAGCACAGCACCAAACAACGTCCGGAGGAGCCCCGCTATTCCATTCGGTGACTTCGTCAATGATCCGTGTGCAATCCGTGGCTTTCGTCAGGTCGGCACTGATGTAGTGGAATCTCTGTCGAGCGGGGTGCGTCGCAGAAGACTTGACAGCATTAGTACTAATGACCCCCGCAACACGAATGGTAATCTTACCTTGATATGCTCAACTGCTACTTTAAGCTTAGAGGTGGTGCGCGCGACAATCACAACATTTGCACCTTTGGCCGCAAGTTGACAGGCAACAGACTTTCCCATTCCATCGGAACCACCAGTAATGACAACAGTCTACCAAGAAGAGACAGTCAGCAATTTTTCTCGGAGATATAATCAGTCAGACTCACCCTGTCATCAACATCGAATTCGTTCTTAGAGCCCAGACCGAGCATCTTGGTAACGGCGGTATACATGATGATACTAGCGAACACGAATGAGATCCCCAGTGTCGTAGGTGAGTAATCAGATAGGAGTGAGACGGGCGGAGAATCCATTGGGAGCGACGAGAGAGGATCAAGAAGAATGACAAGTAGGAAGAGAGCGAAGAGAAGGTATCCACTGATTTAGGAAGCCGCGAGTGCACTCTGTATTACCGCTGATACGCCTCTTTGGACGAATGATGTTGTATTTTAGATGTATTATGATTTATGCTAAACACTGCAAACATTCCTATTCTGGTCTAGTACACAAAAGGCGGTGGCAGTTCTGCTCCCAAATTTTTATCGCGGAGTTTATCAAAATCGCAACGTCTGGACTCGGTCAAATTGTTCGGAAATATCTCAAAGAGGAGATTATGGCCAAAAAGAGAAAGGCTGGCGGTCGCCCTGCGACGCACAACAAGCCCAAAGAATCGGAGCGCACTAAGTTTGATATCGAGGAGCGGTTCGACGATTCGGGGGATGAGTTTCAAGCAGGTCGGGATCAGATTCTTCTGGATGAAGCTCCAGATGCGAAGCGTCGACGGAGAGTAGCGGAAGAAGGTTTGTTATGTGATACATATTACAAGGATCATTCTGACCTGTTGTCTACACAGAGGAAATGCTTCAACCGTCGGACGAAGAGATTATGGGGTACGACGACGTGGACGTGGACGAAGACGACATAGACGAGGAGGACGACGAGGAGGACGAAGGCGCCGAAGACTATGAAGACTACGAAGAGGATGCGATTGGCGAGCCATCGAGAAAGCCCAAGAACAAACGCCGCGATGCCAGTCCCGGCTCTGAGGACTACGAGAACGAGGACGAAGAGGGTATCGCCGCTTGGGGTTCCTCGAAGAAAGATCTGTACAATGCCGACCAAATTGAGACGGAAGCCGATGCCTTAGAGGAAGAACAGGAGGCAAAGAGACTTCAGCAGAAACATCTCCGGGCCATGAACGAAGCGGACTTTGGCTTCGACGAAACCGAATGGGCCGACGCTGGCAAGGAAAAAAAAGATGCTGGGAAAGATACCACAGAGGTAACGGAGGTGCTACCACAGGTGGAGGTCACTGAAGATATGAGCACGGAGGAGAAGTTGAAGATCCTGAAGTCGAGATACCCCGAGTTCGAGCCGCTTGCGAAAGACTTTGCCGACCTCCAACCCACACATCGCGACCTTGCACAGGATGCTAAAGCGGCCGAGAAGCCCAGAGAACCGGATAACGAGGACGACGAGGATGCAGCACCAGTTGTTGTAGTAAAATTCCGTGCCTTGTCGGCATACCTGGGCACAATCAGCATGTACTTTATGCTCTTGACGTCTTCTCAAGATGCATCAGGGAACCCGTCTCCCATGCCTCCGGCTGAATTACGGGGACATCCTATCATGGGATCTCTCGTGAAATTCAGGAAACTGTGGGAGAGTGTCAAGGATCTTCAAACTCCCGAGGTCTCTGAATCCGAGGATGAAGAGATGGAGGAGAGCGAGATCATCGCTGAGCCCGAACCGCCCAAGACAGAGAAGAAGAAACATACCAAGGAGCAAAAACAAACCAAGAGACTGTCCAAAGCAGAGCGCGCCGCGCAAGCAGCACAAGCAGAGGCCGAAGCCCGGAGAGCAGAAAGACTCCGTGAGACCGAAGCCAACTTGGCAGATCTTTCGACCTTGGCCACAGATGCCAAGAAGCGGAAGGCTCAGAAGACAAAGACATCGGCCAAGAACGCAGACGACTCTGACTTTGGTGATGAGGACGCGCTCACTGCCAAGGAGGCAGAGGAGAAGGCTAAGCAGAAACGCTCTCTCCGCTTCTACACTTCTCAACTCGCCCAAAAGGCCAACAAGCGCAGTGCTGCTGGTCGGGATGCTGGTGGTGATGAAGACCTACCATACCGCGAGCGTTTGAAGGACCGTCAAGCCCGACTCAACGCCGAAGCTGAAAAGCGTGGTAAAAAGCAACTCTCTAAGGAAGAGCAGCTTGGCGACGACAGTGACGAGGAAGATCACCGCACGGCCCAACAGATCCGCGGCGACCAGTCTGACTCCGACGATTACTATGACATGGTTGCGGCACGCACGAACCAACGCAAGGAGGACAAAAAAGCTCGCGCAGAAGCCCACGCAGAAGCAGCTCGCCAAGGTGGACAGGTTGCGGTCCAAGAGGAGGTTGGACCGGATGGCAAGCGTGCCATCACCTACCAGATCGAGAAGAACAAGGGTCTTGCGCCTAAGCGGAACAAGGATGTGCGCAACCCGCGTGTCAAGAAGAGGAAGAAGTTCGAGGACAAGAAGAAGAAGCTGGGTAGTATTCGCCAGCAGTACAAGGGTGGTGAAGGCCGTGGAGGATATTCCGGTGAACTTACTGGTATCAAGAAGAACTTGGTAAAGAGTGTCAAGCTTTGAGTTGGGTTCTCTTGGAGCTGTTGGATATTGTTTCACTGGTATTTAGCATGTGTCATTAAAAATGGGCTGTACATATGTAATGAAATTATTAGAGTATTCGTTGCCTTTGTCAATCTCAGTATAGGCGACCGATTTCCCATCCCGAGATCTTTCAGAGACAGCAGCAACCATTTGCATTGTTCAGCCACTTACTGCATAATATAGAAGAGTATAGCGGTGAAATAGAGCAACTATGGCAGGATCGCTGTCATCTTCACTCCGGTTACATCGTCCACGCAAGTTATTCTCCCGATTTACACCTGTCAATAACAAACGCCACTATGCGCACTCTGCCAGCGCGTCCAGTCCAACGTCTATCAACATATTATACGAATCCCTTGAAGAGATCAAGAGACTTGGAAGGCACTGCCCCGGGGATTACCACCCCGTCAACATCGGTAATCGGTTTCATAGCCGATGTCGCGTTGTCGACTGGGCCACGGCTCCTACTCGACCACCTGGCTAGCGCGCGATGAGCAGTTAGAAAGATATGTTGCAGTCAAATCCTGCATTGAAGATTCAAATCTACGAGAAACTGGCATTATATCCGCACTTAATGGTTCCTATCGTGTTCCCAAAATAGCCCGGGGCGGCAATGATCCGTTCAATGTTGGACAAGTTCAGCATTCAAGATCCAAATGGCAATCATGATTGCTACGTGAGCCTTCCCGCAAGGGAAGTCTCTGTCTGAAGGATGGCTCGTGGATCCGCCATTTCCAGCTTAACGTCACCCGAGCATTAGCGGCTCAGCTGGCAATCGCTGTTGAATATGTACATTCCTAAGGGTTTGTCCATGGAGACCTTCGTCTCGGCAACATCCTCTTGAAAATTCCATCTAATCTTGACGAGCTTTCTATTGGGAGACTATATAAGAGTACAGAGTACCAGAGCCGGAGCCGGAGCCGGTAGTACACTTAGATGGCAAACCACTTTCACCAGGGGTTCCATCCCACGGCATTGCACCAATATGGCTTAGGAGAGCAAGCGAGGATATTACGCTTGCAGACTAGGATCCTACTCACAGATTTTGGTGAAGTATTTTTACCCTCACAAGAGGCAAAATATGAATCTCACACCCTGCTCGCCCGTAACTGGATTCTCATTGGCACGACCGAATGAGATAAGCTGGCTTGTCATGACTGTACTTCCTTCGACTGAGCCAAACCAAACGGAGCTCTCTGCCTTTATTGATGAAGGACGAAACGCTCGTTGGAAAGGTGCTAGTTGGAACATGAGCGGTTTGATATAGCTAGATCATAGGTGCGTTCGATATTTTTCCATAAGTTCGTCTAGATAAAAGTCAGTGGTGTATAGAAAGATGCGAAATAGGAAAAGTCAAGGGTAATACCGCGGGTATGCACTGGAGCCAGAAGCAGATCTCACTTTCAGGTTCCAGAAACAGGCGCGAAAATAGATGCGAGAAGAATAGACCCATTGTCAAAATGGCATCGACGTTGGCTGCGAGTCAACCAGTACAATTTAACATGCGTGTTTCAAAAATGAGACAGAGGGCTGTGAGTGTTTATTGAGCAATTTGATTAGTTTATACAAATATCATGTGATAAATAGAGGAATCGTACTACGTAAGAAGGACGCATTCAGCTAGTTATGGCCTGAAGCACTAAATAATAGTAAGACCAACGACTATTGTCTCAGGCCTTCAAATAACCCCTCTGGAGTATCCCTCGAGTCTATCCCAACGCTCCCAGACATATCTATCCCAAGGAATCTTCTAGCTAACGCATCTTACATGCAGAGAATAATCAGCTGGTTTTCTCAGGACTTCAAGATAGAGATTCTCACTGCTTCTTCCAAAGCTTGTGTTTCCTCTACGGTTAGCGTGGCGCAAGTAGCGATCAAAGAAATTCTCACCGCGAGCAGAGAGTAAAGAGAGCTCGTTGGCGCGGTCGACGACAGTCTGGTTGATTCCGTTGATTGCCGCGCAGCTATATATAGGTCTCAACTGAAGGCTCGTATAAGAAGAGGAATGAAACACAGGGTATACGTACATAGTCCCAAAACTCTCGTTACTTCGGCCTGGTCGGGGACTTTCGCATGCCTTGTTAGCATGATCATATGTTATTGACGCGAGGGTAGGTATCCAACTTACAGAGGTAGGTGATCTGATCTTCCGCATCGCGGGTTTCTTCGCAGACCTGTACTTCCATATGACCCAACCATAATCGAGGTCGAACCCTGAGAAAATCATTCTCAAATACCTCGTGAAAATGCGTCGCTGCTATGACCTTTGGGCCCTCTCTGAGACTCAGCAAATACTCGAGAATTCCGCACGCAAGACCGATGCCATTTGTATTAGAAATCCGGGATCTATAGCTTGCAGCTGTCGAAAGCGAAATCTGACTCCACCAGCCGTTCCCAAGAGTCCCTTTACCGAACTCGTCGATCAAGAGCAAACTGCGACTGGTCACTTTCTTCAAGACAAGGGAAACTTGTTGTAGATCATTCATGAACGTGCTTTGAATTTGGGATGGACTGAGCAGTCAAAACCAAGAGATCACTGGTTTGATAGCTTCTTACCTTAGAGACGCTCCCCTGGGCATTCATCTTCACCAAGATCTTATCTGTTATGCCGACCTCTGCACTCTCCGCGGGGACAAAGCTGCTGTTTTTTTGAGATGCACTCGCTGTAGACATGATTTATGGCCCGCATACCTTCCGACTTGTGCAAGATAGATGATTAAAGTAGCCTACCTAGCAATTAGACGGTGTCATATGCGCGCAGATCTGAGCCACTGACTTGCTTCATATAGACACTTTTGCCTGAGTAGTCGGGACCTGTAAGCAGTAACATGCTCGGACTATGGCCCGCCTCTGGCCCTTCAGATAGGATGTCCGATTCTCTGTTTGAGACAGGTCGATTGGAATCTTCAGCGCCTATAATAAAAGTATCATTCGGAACGTATTATGGGACAGTAAGCTCTTGGAGAATATGGCTGTACCATGTCAATAATTGAAACGATCCATGGATCTGGGAATTGAATCGACTCACTGTCCGCCCTTATAATGACGATATTCTCTTGTACTAGTTTTGGTCGCACTAGCTTGTAGAAAATTGCTGCTTGAGTCGTTGCGATGAGACTGTTTAAGGTAAGCCGCCGTAATCTTAAAAGTGTCAGATGCCTACCTGTCGATTTGGCCACAGATATCGGACACTTCCACAAGCATGTCTTCAAATCGAAGCACTATCTGTGCTATATCGTAGACGATCACTATCTCTTTCTCTAAAGAGCAAACACAATCAGCACAGTGCCTGTTGGGAAATGGTCCCTCTCAATTACCACAAATAAGTCCTATATGTCGCCCAATCTGCCATCCATCTCTCTCATCCGTAGATCCTTGAAGTATGCTCGATTCTCTGTAATAAATCAACTCCCAGTTCTCATTGCTGCCGTTGAAGAGTGGCTCTCCCCGGTTATTGAGCGGGATCGCAATGTTGAAGCTCTCTGGGATTTTAGTGGCGACCTCCATTGCGACCTGTTTCAGTAAGCTGTTCAATCCATCATGGTTGTCTTTTATCATGTCGAGCTCGCGATCTAGGTCTGATTTTACAATAGTTCTACTCTGTTCATCAGAGCTGTCGACGTCGACCTGAAAGGTCAGTTTGTTTCCTAGACAAAAGATTGAGAAATACTTACTATCTCTTGAATCATCCTCTCAGCCCTATACAGTTGTGCCGCTTCGAACATTTGGAGTGCCTTTATGCTTCTTAATACAACTACAGACGTTGAGAAGATCTTTTCCACTTGCCTTGCTTCTTAATGATAGTGCGTCTGCACCGGAGAGCTCTCTTAGGGCTTCGTTGATATCGATTCCATAGAAAGCGAACTAACGCAACAGCATAAGTATATCGTATTCATGGTAGGGGGAAATTGTGACATACAGCCAATAAAGTTGCCCAAACTGTGGTCCTGAAACCAGTAATCTTTGCACTTCCCGTGCTAATACCCTTGCGAAGGTTGATCATGACAGGACGAAGGTTTTTGATGTGCTTTAAGCTCTTCGTCATCTTCTCCGAGCATTTAAAGTTATCCGGTCGTAGGAACACGCTTATGAAGTCGTGCAGTTCACGAATAGTATCTATGTTCGTACTGGGACGAAGAAAGACCTATCGAAATCGATTTCTTCCTGAGATGTACTTGCGAATTGGTGGAATATGCCGTATATTGATAGACCTTCTTTAGAGGACGATGACTTCTTGCCCGGACCCTGGTCGAACATACTAGGGTGAGATTCGGACTGTATTATTTGGAGGGACAATAGGGCATTGCCGTTGATGAGTCTATTGTATGTTAGAACCCGGTTCACAACATAGTATTAGAAAGCTCACATGGTATCCTGCAACCCGAACATCCTAAGAGAGTTGATACTGAATAAATCTGATGCCCTGTTCCCAGGTACCATATCTGTGGCTCTTCGCCTCTGTAGGTGGGTAAGAATAGCCCCAGCGCAACCAATCGTAATAGCGTTCTCCATATCAACCGAGCTAGACATGTGTAGCAATCGTCCCTCTTGCAACGTTAAACTTGTAGCCTCAGTTTCCATCTCCTCGGATCCAATTATCCCACCATGCGGCACGAAAAATTGCATGCATTGTTCGTGCGTAGCCGATATTTCAAGAGCTGTGAGCTTGCTTTTGGCGCTGGGGCCACTGAATTCTTGGGATGGGCGGATATCGAGTTGGTATGAGAGGTACGTTTGCGTCTCTGTTGGGACGTAGTAGTCAGCATCGCGCTCAACAAACCAAGTGAGCGTATTGTTCTCCCTTATACCATCTTCTTGTCCTGAGTTCAGCCCTCTGCTTGTAAGGTAATCGACATGAGCGGAGGCCAGGAGCACGGTAGGTTTCGTCTGAAGGATTACTGCCATTGCTGTCAGCATTTTCTTTAAGACCATAAACGTAAGTCTTGAAGACGGACAGCTATCAATCGTCTCATTCCCCGAAAAATGAATGTCTCCCATTAGATAGAGCGTCTCCTCCTGAGCTGAGTAGTAGGAGCAGCCAACTGTTCCCGAATCCCCCATGTCCATCGCCACTATCACGTGGCCGAGATCATCATCGATAGACTGCCGTGGAATCTCATCGTCAACGAAGTTGCTTATTGAGTTTTGCGGTATTGATGGCTTTGTTATAGAGGACCTTTGAGGATTGGGGAAATGGACGCGTGAGGTGGATCCTGGGTCCAGAGACGGTGTGCCATCACGATTGTCGAATCTGCGATTATAAGAGCGGGGTGTAATATATGGGGGTTTTGTAGTTCGTCGTCTTTTCCTCCTAGATGGATCCATGGTGTATATATGAATATTGTAATGGTTGGTGGGGAATGGGTAGTTTGCTGGGGCTTATGGTGGGCGAGGGAAAATAGAAGATGGGTTTCAAATGGTCAGCCCTAGTCTACCCCGTACTTTTATTATAAACTTAGCACAGATATGCGATATTCAATAATCATTACATTCGTATCTGTACAGAAGAGAAAATGCTATATAGTACAATGATGGGAGTTCATTATAATACAGAATCCACAGCCTCCAAAAATCCTAACCCAGCAAGTGCTCATATATGTCGTAAAAGTGAAGCCAAGAAGCGATTTGATCCCTCTTATTCCTCTTTATTTCTCTGCGGGACCCTCTGCAGAGTCCTCTGCAGAGCCCTCTGTGGAGACTTGGAGTGCGGTCTTATCGGCATTGAACGTGACACGAGCAGTTTGGCCACTTGTAACCTGGCCCCGAATGATCTTATCTGCGAGTCTGTTTCCAATTTCCTTGGCAATCAGGCGATTAAGAGGACGAGCGCCAAACTTGGGATCATAGCCCTTCTCGCAGAGCCAGTCCTTGATCTCGTCATCGACCTGCAAAACCATCCGACGATCGTCGAGTCTCGACTGCAACTCCTTAACTCTGATGTTGACGATGTCTCTAAGGGCCTCTTTGGAAAGTCTCTTAAAAACAATAAACTCATCGATTCGGTTGAGGAACTCTGGTGGATACGCAGTTTGCACCACATCCATAACTGCGCTCCTGATTTCCGGAGAAATTTCTGCATCACCATAGTCCTTGTAAGAGTGCAAAGGATCAGCGCCAACAAGGATATTGGCACCGAGGTTGGATGTAAGGACAATGAGAGTATTTCGGAAGTCAACTTTATGGCCCTGAGCATCTGTAAGGAAGCCTTCGTCGAGAACTTGCAATAGAAGGGAAGAGATATCGCGGTGGGCCTTCTCAAATTCGTCAAACAAAAGCACAGCATACGGCTTCCGTCTCACTGCCTCAGTCAGCTGACCAGCATCATCATATCCGACGTATCCAGCTGGTGATCCAATCAGACGGCTAATCGTATGCTTCTCCTGGAATTCACTCATGTCGAAGCGTACAACCGCAGATTCAGTAGAGAACAAGAACTCGGCCATCTTCTTGCAAAGCTCTGTTTTGCCGACACCAGTAGGACCAAGGAACATGAACGATGCTAGAGGCCGGTTTTCTCCGCTGAGACCCGCTCTCTGCATGCGGACTGCATTGGCAACAGCGGAAAGCGCCTCATCCTGTCCACGAACCGACTGGCGAAGTGTGTCTTCCATGCTAATCAATTTCTCGACTTCCCCAGCCATGAGTTTGTTGACCGGGATACCGGTGGTTCGGGAGACAACATTGCCAATATCATCAGGGGTAACAGAGTCGTGGATGAGGCCGACTTGTGCACCCGAGTCCTGCTCTTCTTCTTTGGGCAACTTGGCTTCCAAACTTGGAATCTTAGCGTACCTCAGTTCTCCTGCCTTTGCAAAGTCACCTTCTCGCTGCGTGCGCTCCAACTCAAACCGAGCACGCTCCAACTCCTCTTTCGTGTTCTTGATATTGTCGATTTCGGCCTTTTCTGTCTCCCAGACTTCCGTTAATCTCGTAGCTTCCTCCTGCTTAACTTTCAAGTCCTCTTGTAGCTTATCTCGTCTCTCACGGCTGCTAACATCGGTTTCCTTGCGGAGCGATTCGAGTTCGATCTGGATGGTGGTGATATCACGATCCAATTCCCGGATTACATCGGGCTTCGACTCTTGCTGCAGCCGCAGTGCTGATGCCGCTTCGTCAACCAAGTCAATAGCCTTGTCGGGCAAGAAGCGATCGGTGATATAACGGTTGCTGTAGGTTGCTGCTGCCACAAGTGCACCGTCCATGATGCGCACACCGTGGTGAACTTCGTATTTGTTCTTAATACCACGTAGAATGGAAATTGTAGCCGCAACCGAGGGTTCGCCAACTTGGATGGGCTGGAATCGTCGAGCAAGAGCGACATCTTTCTCGATCATCCGGTATTCACTCAAAGTCGTAGCACCGCAGCACTGAAGCTCTCCTCTAGAGAGCGCTGGCTTCAGAAGGTTGCTAGCATCAATGCTGCCCTCGGCCTTTCCAAGACCAAGCAACGTGTGGAGTTCATCGATGAAAAGAATAACACCGCCTTGGGCATCTTCGACCTCCTTGAGAACAGACTTCAACCGTTCTTCAAAGTCACCTCGAAACTTCGCACCCGCGATAAGTGAGCCCAAGTCGAGCGAGACAACACGCTTTTCTTTGATACTTTCCGGTACATCCCCTTTGACGATTCTCTGCGCTAATCCTTCCAAGACAGCGGTTTTACCAGTACCAGCAGCGCCTATGAGGACCGGGTTGTTCTTCGTTCGTCTTGACAGAACTTGAATCGTACGGTGGATCTCGGCGTCTCTTCCGATAACTGGATCAAGTTTTCCTGCCTTGGCTCTTGCAGTAAGGTCGACACCATATTGCTCCAGTGCTGGTTTCTCAGGCTCGTCTCCCAGGTTCATTCGATGTGTACCACCTGGAGGATGCGGACGACCGTTGGCATAATGACGAATGGATATAATCGATTGAAAATTCGTAGCTGAAGTAATCTGAGAGGGTAATAATCGAGCTTGCGAAGGTAACCGTAGCTTCTGGGAAGAAGTGAACAATCGGTTTGATGACGACATAGTCGGCGTTCGAAGCAGCCGGCTTCGAGCAAACTGCGACGTTGACGCCATGGCTGGGACAGTGCCCGTCGAGGCAGATGTTCGTAGCATATCCAAAAAGAAGCGAATATCCAAATTCGACGAAAACTCTCACTGGGAATGCTTCGACCTAAAAGGTCAAGTATATATCTCGCCGGAGGCCATAGCTCGGGATGCTTCTCGAAGCGTCCACACCGCCTCCCATAAGTGGCGAGGGAGCTCACCCCAGGCGCCGACAAAGTTCCGGACCGGAATAATTCACGTGACTTGCGGAGGGGCAGTCGGAGCCCGCCAAAGAAAAAAAATTCGTTCGACCCTCTCCTTTTTAAGAAACCTCCCCCTCAAAAAATCTCCTAAATTTTTCTCTGACTTTTCTTCTTTCTTCTCTTTCTCCCAACCACATCCATTTCTTTTTTTAAAATAATAATCTTTTACAATGGGTTTCACTGACTTCGTTTCTGAGACTGGCCTTTCCTGTGAGTTCTTTGCTGGTGTGGTTTTCCCTTTTCGTCCGCATCGCTAACCCGGTGTGCCCCTCAGTGGCCAACACCTTCTTCAACAACCGGAGCTACGTCGTTGGGTAAGAGAGAACCCTTCCTTCGTTCATTGCCATTGAATGTTCTCGTCTTTATTTTGAGTTTGGTTGTTTCCTTGTTATGATGAAAACAAATTGGTCCGTGTTTAAGAGGCGGCTTAAGACCCCGCTGCAAGACTACAAACCTTTGCGAGCAATCGCGTTTCTGATCTTCAAGATATAATCTTGTTTAATATTTGCTTTTCTGTGTCCAGTCGCTTGACAATCTTCGCAAGATTCGTACTGACCAGTATTTAGCACTGCTCCCTCTCAGGCCGATGTCGTGACCTTTAAGGCCTTCTCCGGCGCTCCTGACGCTGAGAAGTACCCTAACGTTGCCCGCTGGTACAAGCATATCGCCTCTTACGAGTCTGAGTTCTCTACCCTCCCCGGTGACGCCTCCAAGGCCTACACTGCCTACGGTCCCGAGGCTTCGGAGACCAGCCCCCAGGGCAAGCCTGAAGATGACGACGATGTGTCCCTCTTCGGTAGCGACGAGGAAGAGGAGGACCCTGAGGTCGTTAAGGAGCGTGAGGCTCGCCTCGCAGAGTACAAGAAGAAGAAGGAGTCCAAGCCTAAGGCCATTGCCAAGTCCCTTGTGACTCTTGAGGTTAAGCCTTGGGGTAAGTGATTGATTACGATGGTTACCTTTGAACCCTAGCATGCTAATTCGTCGTTTCAGATGATGAGACCAACATTGAGGAGCTCGAGGCCAACGTCCGCGCCATCGAGAAGGACGGTCTTGTCTGGGGTGCCTCCAAGTTGGTCCCCTTGGCCTACGCCATTAAGAAGCTCCAGATCAACCTTGTCGTCGAGGACGAGAAGGTCTCCACCGACGAACTCCAGCAGGAGATCGAGGAGGACGAGGACCACGTCCAGTCCACCGACGTTGTTGCTATGCAGAAGCTGTAATTGAAATGCCTCTTATGAAGAATGGATGATGATGGATAATTTTCATGTTTATGAAACGGATTTTTTTTTTTATAAGTGTTACGGACTCTTAAAATTATTAGAAACCGACCTTACTGGTCGTGATGAAAATGAACGACAATCAAGAACATCTTAAAAAAGTATCATACTCAGTAGGACATTTCTCGAATTAAAAAACCTGATGCCGATATGTGGAGTGTGCACATTGGGGCGGCGCAGTCATCCGTAGGAACTGCTAGTTGGTGGAAGATAGCGGACTCCGACATATTCGATGCGCGCATTTCTCATTTTCTTTCTACTGCACTACTGAATGATTTCTCGAAAAAAAAAAATTAAAAATAAAAACACTTATTCTTTGATTAACAATTAAGCACCATGGCGTTCCTATCCCGTCTCATCACCTTCTTCGGGCTAATCTTGCTCGCCCATGCGTACGTCTCTTCTCTACCAAAACACCCCAGAAAGGCCACCACTAACCAAATTTCACAAAACAGAGGTTACTCAGCCCATGAACACACTGTCCTATCCAGCAACACCCGCCTCTCGACCTCCTCAACCGCCCTCCCGCAAGACATTATAGTCGAAACCCTCGTGTCGCTCGTGGTCGTCTCTCTCGGCCTCGTCCTTGGCGCAGAGAAATTGAAGCCTATTAGCTGGAGTCAGTGGGCGGGGGAGATTGAGAAGGAGGGCGGTGGGAGGAATCCATATTCGAGGTTGGAGGAGAGGTATAGCTTTTGGGATGTTAGGGTGAGTCTCGTCCCTGGTGATTTGGGTTGGTCGTTTGAGGGGATAATGATTACTGATTTGATGGTCTGGATAGGCGAAGAGAAAGGAATTTAGTGAGTGGATTCGGGGTCAGGATGCGATGGCTGCGCAGTGATTGAGATGATTGGATGGGGTTGGGTTGGGATTTTAATGGACGGATATTATGCTCTATTTCATGTGTATTATATGTCGAGCTACCAATGACCGGCTAATGGTATTTTCTGCTATGCCTGATATCTTCCTGCAGGGTCAATCATGACCTAGGCTTTACACAGAGCTGTGCTCCCCCGTCGGTACAGGATACACTGTCAACAAACTAGTCAAGAATCTAGTCTGAAGGAGCGATAAGACAGACGGTGAAGGTTCTGCATGGTACCATGGGCTACCATGCATATGCGTCTTGAGTTCTCAATTGGGAATGAGTGTGTTTATCCAGTTGTACCTGGCAGATGCGGTGACATGGAGTATTGGGTGCTGGGTTGTCGACGAGGAGCACGGAGGAGCGTTTCTGACAGCTAGACGTGTTGCACGAGTAGGTCGCTGCACTACATTCGACATGGCTGAACGGTTGGAGGCACCATCAGAAATATATTTGTCAAGATGCATAATGGCAATCTATCTGTTTAGTACAGCTCTGCTCATAGGAAGTGACACCCGACGCATATTTTTTTGATCCAACGAGCATGATCGCCTGACCGCAAATTGTCCATCGGAGAAAAGCTGACTGTTGAGCTGATCAACCATGCCACCGTGTGAACCGCAGACTGTTGATCAGCATGACTGTCTTATCTGATTGTCCACTGCAACGAATCCACACCCAGAATAACGTCAATTACGGTCGAATCACAACAGCATCGCAATACTGTCCAAGTAAGTTTACTGCCAATGTGTGTGAGACAAACCGCAGATCACATGATGGCAATGGCTAAATATAACAACCCACGGCCCAGAATTCGGCGGGATCCGACTTGAGCATTGCGACAACCCCAGTTCAACTGACTCGCGATTGTATAGAACCAAGGGAAACTGTCTCAGTCTATTTATAAAGAACCCGTGTCAAATCCGCAGCTGATAATTGATATGTGGCAGGGGCTCAACGAGGAAAAAAAGTTCTATTAACGGCCAATTATTACTGCTCCTTACATTTTGCTCTTCTTTCAGGTCGTTCGTCGTACTTCTGCAAGCCTTGGTGGAGAGGGATACGTAGGCTGTCTACGCAGGCGATAGCGCACTTAATATGCATTGCTACTGCTACAAGTACTGCAAGAGTTCTATCACATTTAGTGTCTATGAGGCCATAGTTTTCAGCAATTTAAATGTGGCTATCTGTTAAGTCAATCATGGTTGCCAGGGCGAATCATAGTACTCTGCTCATCTTCTCCTCACACTTCCCCATATTTTCAGAAACAGACCGGACCAAGGGATTAAGTCAAGAATGTACCTGTTCAGAAGCAATCTAATTGTATACGTCGTAACACAAGGAAAAAAAAAAAAGAAAAAGAAAAAGAAAGAAAGAAAGAAAGACAAAAAAAAAAAAGGCTGACGCAACGCAACCCAAACATGGACTGACTAGTCGGGGTTTGAAGAAGGATTCGTAGCTATCCTCGTACAAACTGAGCATATCCCCAGAAGGGAAACGCGGGATAGACAGCCCTTCGTTTTGGATGGATACGTCCATTCACTGTCCTCCACTCGCGAAGCTGAGGCTATTTAAACTCCCCTTTCACCCAACTGCATCTGCTCTCTTTTCCTCTCTCTCACCCATTAGTCTGTTATTCTACTTAACACCCAATATTCTTACCCGTACCAGTCCATAATAATCCTCCTAATACAGCCCTACGCTCCATTCACAATGCACTTCAAGACGACCCTCCTTGTTGCCCTCTCGGCCCTCGCTGCTGCTCAGCAGTCTTCCCAGGCAGTGGTAAGTCCTTCCCTCCGATCTACATGTCTATTCCCATGGAGTAAACGAAGCACATGCTAAACTATCCAGGAAAACCCCGCTACCGGCTACCTCGACCAGACTAACTCCGCCGGCGCCGTCACCGGCCAGCCTGAAGCCGTAACCTCGCAGCAAGCCGCGGCTACCTCGCAACAAGCCGCTGCCACCTCGCAACCCTCTGTCGTGACTTCCCAAGATCTCCCAGCCGGTGTCTCGTCAAGCCTCATCCCCTCCCAAACCTCCGCGCAGTCGACCCTGGTCACCTCTGCCGACTCGTCCTCCGCTGGTGCTTCCTCGACTGCTACCTTGACCTCTACCGCAGCCAAGTCTACCTCTTCCTCTTCCTCTTCTGACGATGACGACGATGACTCTTCGTCTTCGTCTTCGTCTAGCTCCGGCTCGGCTAGCTCGTCCACCGCCGATGGTGCTGCTGCCGTTCCTACTGCAGGCTCTGTCGGGTTGACTATCGGTCTGGCTGGTGCTGCTTTGGCTGCTTTGCTGTAAGCATGAGTTGAGCTGGATGGCCCTGTTCTCCTGCTCACACCGTATACCCTTCGATTGCCTGCCTTGATGGAGAACAATGAACCATAGCCAACGGGAAGCTGGTCATACAGTAATGGATTTAGGATGAGACATGCAGCTTGTTCTCTTTGTTGGATATGTGTTGGGAAGGGCTTTTTTTTTTTTTTTACGCTCTCCCTCTTGTCTTCTTGCTTTCCACAAGACCTGCAACGTAAATAGTTATTACCTTAGCAATATCTAATGTCTGGTAAATAGAAGTTTGGACTGAATTACCTACGTGCTTCGTTCAGTTTTTTATAATCATATAGAGATGGCAATTAGACCAGCGAACAGGAATCTGTAATTAGCATTGCATTGTGATTGTGAAACAGTCGCACATAGGCGCTGTTGAATATGTTTGATTAAAGTATCGCAATCGAACTCTCCCCGTAAGTGTCACAAATTTGTAATCAGAGAACATCAGAATGTCGAATTTCTCAGCCCTACAGCAAAACCAACACAATCTCAACAAGATATCCTCGATAAGGAAATCAATAACACTTCCCAAAACGCGTCAACGCGTCTCCGAATCACATGACTAATACCGCGTCGCGCGGTGGTCATCCCTTTTCGGGCCTAGCGGCAGAAATCGTCACCGCAACCAGAAGAAAACAAAGAACAACAACGCACCGCTCAACAAGTGAGCTTTACTCCATACCCCCTGCCAGTTTGCGACGTTCCTATCGTTTGAGGATTAGAGCTGGACTTCTTTGTTTTGTCTTTTGTTTTGGGGTTTTGGGATTATTTATGGAATTGGCATTGGGTGTTGTGATTGATTGGTGATTGTAACGCAACGTAACGCTACGTCTGGAGTACTTTGTACAGAAGTGCACCTGGTTCCTATATTATACCCATCCTGAGCGAGCTGCGGAGTTTCCTGTCGCATATTAGCAAAAGCGCATTTTACAATCCGACGAGATCCATCTACGTTGCAACATACCTACATCATGGTGAGTTAAGCTTTCCCTACTCCATATTGGCGGCGGATCATACCCAACCAACGCTAACAATTATGTTATACAATATACAGCCCTCAGCCTTCCGCCGTCTCGCAGCAGACCACGCCGTCCTCCACGACGACCTCCCCCCAAACTACCTCTTCCCACCCGATGACTCCTCCGACGACCTCACCCAACTCTACATTCTCCTCGCCGGTCCGCAGGGCACACCATACACGCAAGGATTATGGCGGTTACATCTGAAGATTCCAGAGGATTATCCTAAAAGTCCGCCGAAGGCGACGTTCCGGACGAGGATCTGGCATCCGAATGTGGAGGAGACGACCGGAGCAGTTTGCGTGGATACGTTGAAGAGGGATTGGAAGCCGGAGTTGACGTTGAGAGATGTTCTGATTGTAGGCTTTACCCTTGGTGTGGATTTGGGGTGCTAGACTGACTTGCGCAGACGATATCGTGTTTGTTGATTTATCCCAATCCGGACTCTGCATTGAATTCAGCGGCTGGTGCGCTGCAACAGGAGGATTATGAAGCTTTTGCGCGCCAGGCTAAGGTCATGACGTCAATCCATGCGTCGGTTCCCGCGGATATGAAAAATGCAGTGATGGAGGCGAAGTTAAGAGGCGAAGAGGCTGGAGCAATCATCCAAGAACAACAAGAGGATTCGCGCACACTGCAAACACGGAAAGGGAAAAAGGTGCAATCGGTGACGATGAAGAAGAAGGGCAACACTGCACAAACACAATCAGCACAGCAATCATCACTCTCACCCTTACCACCATCGACCACCGACCAAGACGAAATCATGACATCCTCCGACGCCGAGAATGAAAATGACGAAAACAGTACCATCGAAAGCAAAGAAAACGACCCCTCCCTCTCCCCTTCCCCCGTCAAATTCGCTCCCCCAAGCCCCCGCAAAAACGCCCACGGCAAACGCCCCCTCTCCGTTCTCACAATGCCCCTAGACCACGCCCACTTTTACTCCCACCTCCACGACCAAACTTCACCCCCGCCAACAATGATGGACACGGACGAAGACGGAATAATGATGACCGCTTCGGAGAAGAACATCGCAGCTAATGCCAACTACCAAGAGTCAATACCAGAAGAAGACGAAGACCGGGGAGATGCTTCACCGCGACGCAAATCACCAAAACTCTCTACCCTGAACAAAGGCGTCAATGCATCGGGCCGGATCCGTGACGAAATTTTCGAAGATACACCCTCTACACCTTCAACACACCACTGTTGTACCAAAATAACCGGGAAAGAGAATCACGATTATGATACCCTTGCCGATGCGAACAAGGAACCCGGTAAAGCGGCGCGGAGGAATTACTACAGCGCTAACGCGACTACGAACCCTAATCTTAATACTCATCTCATTCCTACATTATCATCCGCCTCTTCGTCTGCATCCGCTTCTCTTTCTGCAGCCCCCGCTACCGCTCCAACCAGTTTGAAGGGTGCCAAGGCCAAAGGTGCTACGAGGTCCGTCCCTGGAACTAGAAAGGTGTCTAAGCCGCGGATTGGACTTAGGAGGTTATAAGTTATTCAAGGGTTTCTGGGTTTATATTATTCCTTTTTGTGATGATCATTATTAGTCTTCTTGCTGTTTTTTTTATTAGTATTATCTTTTGAGGGTGCTTGCATTGCGGTTGGTGTTTGGGGTTCGATTCGTTGTACGTCCCAAGGGACCATGAATGATACCATGGGAATTCAAAATCTACCAAAATTGCCCGATGATTTGTATTATGTAGCAAGACAAGCATAACCATCAGGATGCGCCTTTAAATAAGCTATGCAAATATCTAAGATTATAATAAACATATCTTCGATCCAAGTCCCTTCGTGACCAGCCTTCAACCAAAGCCATCTGCGACATTGCCCGTAATCAACAAAAACATTCAATTTAAAACATGGTACCTCATGTGGAAAACCAGTGATTCCAAACGCTTCACCCAAGGACTTTTTCTGCATAAAATCATGCAAGGAAAAATAGGAACCCAGTCCACCAACGTGATACAGACAACATGACCCAATATCAAAACCACAGAAATCCATAATGGTTCAAGCAAAAGGGAATAAGAACGCTGGGCTGATTAAAATGATACTGCCTGGAGAAAAGGGACGACAAACGCTTTGATAGGAATATGTTCGCTTCGCAAGGCAAGGTCTGTTCGTATCCGTAGACGACTCCACCTTGCGAGACACGAAGGGAAAAGAAAAATTTTGTACTATGAATCAAGCAAACATACACTCGAAGAGGTAAAGTATACCGTTGTCAAACCCCTTTACAGAGCGTAAGGGTTCACAGAGCGAATAGTGAGGCAACTGTAGATGCGAATGCGTTAGCCACAAGAACAGTAAAATAAAGATCACCATGGATGATACTTACGGAGGACTCTTGGACAGATCGGTCTTGAGAATAATTGGAACGCGGCTCATCTCCGTGACATCTTGGATGTAGTCTCCGTTTTCTTCTCTGAGCTTGAACAAGTTCAGGTACTTCTCCTTGTTCGTCAACTTGGCTTCCGGAGCGTCACCGGCATTGGTCGCCATCTTCGGGTCCGAGCGAGTGCGGTGAGGACCCTGTTGGCCATTGCCGTTGTGGGTTGGCGAAGGGGGCATGCTCTGAGTCGGGCGGTCCGCAGAGCTGTTGTTCAACGACACACCAGCGGCCATCTCAGTGACCTCGGACATATCATCATCATCATCAAAGAGGGCATCAACATCATCTGCGGACATCGTCCCGGTCTCAGTTTGCTTGCGCATGGCCTCGTCCCTTTCGCGAGCACGCTCCCTGGCAGCTTCGGCTTCACGAGCCGCTGCGGCAGCCTGGGCAGCACGGGCGTTCGCGGGCTTAGGACGTTCATCCTCGGGAACGTACGCGGAAGACGGAACACCCTTCTCCCAGTAAAGCTCGAGAACACGGGAGTCCTTGCGGAACTCTGCCTTCTTCAATGGCAGCTGATCACAGTGAACACGCTTCTCGAAACCGTACTCCGGAATGAGGACATCAAACGCGGACTCGTAGACGCAGATGACAATACCTTCACTAATCAGGTCGCCACCAATTGCCTGTCGTTCCTTATCCATGTTACGGCAGGCCTCAATGTGGACGCTTTGCTCCTGAGCGTTGTGTGCCGAGTCCTTCTTGTTGTTGCAAAGCTCCGCTGTCTTGTTAAGGGATTCCAAATCGTCCGTGAATTCGATGGCACCATCAGAGAGAATAGCCTCCAGCTGACGGTGCACAACGATGTCGGAATAGCGACGCGATGGGTTGGTGAAATGGGTGAAGTAAGGAAGGTTAAGAGTGTAGTGCTGGCGCTGCTCACCCTGCACAGTGCCTCCAACGTAGTATTTCGCGCGTTGCATGGCCTTGACGAGAAGTACTTCCATGCCCTATATAAAAAGAATCCGTTAGAGCCCTGGGATTCAGAAAGGGAACAGAGTTGACTGACCTTGCGCACTTCAACATCCGACACCTTGCAGACACTGCTCTGCAAACTGCCACTGCTAGTAGCGTCCATTTCATATCCGAGTGGGTTCATCCGGTCGACGAAGGCCTGGAGCCGACGAGCATTAGGCGGGGTCTGGCGGCGAAGGAAGGCCTTTTCAGGCATGGCCGTCACCAATTTGCGAGCAACAAAGAAGTTGGCCTTGTGACTCAACTCTTCGACCAGCTCATGGGCCGCAGAGGCGTCAAAGATGTTGTCTTCGACAGGCACGTTCTCGTCATCCAACTGAGACAGCAAACGCAAAGGTGGCAAGTTTGAAGCACGGTGGCCAAATCTTGCTTCGCGGAATTTCGCGGCAAGGCCCTATATATTCGGAAAAACAAAGTTAGCACGAGCAATAGGGAAGATTGGGTCACCAGTAAAAGAAAATCACTTACGTTCAAGGCCCGAATGTCGTCAGCAGTAGTCCCAGGCACTGAAACGTCATTCTGACCACCGATGATTGCATTGACCTCGTCGTAGCCCAGTCTACCAGAGCTCTTGATCACACCCTTGCCGATCCACACGTCGTCATCGACGATACCGGTGTCAGGGTTGGCTCTGAACACCACACTGACCGTCAGGCGTTCCTGACCAGGAAGCAGCGAGCAGAGCTCCGTAGATATGCGCTTTGGTAGCATGTTCACTAGGCGGTCCATCAGATAGACGGCGGTTCCCCGCTTCTTAGCCTCCCGGTCCACCAGGGAGTTGGCCTTGACGAAGTGGGCAATATCCGCGACGTGAATACCGATCTCAACCTGTCCATCGGGGAGCTTCTTGGCGTGGACAGCATCGTCCAGCTCCGGGGTGCCGTTAGGGTCAATGGTGAATGTGACTTCGTCACGGAAGTCTCGACGCGAGGCCAAAAGTGCTTCGCCCTCATTGGCAACTGACCAGTCGTCCCAGCCAATACTCTTGAGGACCGCGTCGGAGAACTCGTCAGAGCCAAAGTTGTTGTCCCGGAGAAGGGCATCAGTCTCCACCCTCAGATCACCCATCTCGCCGAGTTGCTCAACCAAAGTACCAAAGGGGTGCAGAGAGGTGATCGGCCATCGCTTGATGCAAGCGACGAAGATGCGGTTGGCGTACTCCTGGTGCTTTTCGACAAAGTCTCGAGGGGCCTGCTCGGTGGGGATCGCAATGAGCGGAACACGCTTGTCTGTAGGCTTGAACCAAACAATCTTGGGTTTCTCTTGGTGGCGGTCATTATGGCGGCCGTGATGACCATCTCTGGCCTGCCGTTCGGCCTCTTGCTTCTCCTTCGTCGCCTGGCTACTGGGACGGAGGAGACCCAGAGTTCCCGAGAACATCTGTCCTGCGACGCGTTCGATCACAGCCACGATATGACCAGCATACAACGGCTTCTGCTCATCGCTGATCTCGTCTTCCTCGACCAGCAGAAGGCTCTGGCCTTCCACTTCGACATCGTCGTTTTTCTTTTGAGTGGGTCGCTGGCGGAGACTGCCACGGCGACGGATGCTGCCGTCAGGCCCGACCTCCTGTCGCTCTCCATTGGCGCCAGAGTCCGAGCGAGACAACTTGTCACCGCCATTGCCACCAGAGCGGGCATCCGTGATGTCCTTGCGCTTCTTTTTCTCTTCCTTTTCCTTCTTCTGGCCCCACACTTCGTCAACATCCAAGAGTTCGACAGCAACAAAGTCACCCTCAAGTGCACGGTTGCGGTCTTTGCTTCCACAGATGAAGATATCGGCATCCAAGTCGGTGGTGGTGACATAGGCGTCGGAGCGGTTCTTCTTGTTGACCCGGAGGGTACCCGCAACCAGCTGACCGTTGCTCAACAGCGCCGGCAGGTTCGCCTGGGGAAGATAAGGAGTGAAGAGCGTTTTGCGCTGCTGCTGCTGCTGCTGCTGCTGTTGAGCGGATAGTTGCTGCTGGGGCGCATGCTGACTGGCCTGGAGGCCCAAGCCCTGGCCATTCAACTGCCCATTCTGCTGCTGCAGGGCTTGCAGTTGGGCAAGCTGGAGAGGGTTCAGCTGCTGACCACCAAACACCTGTGGTGCCATAACCACTTGTCCCTGCGGAAGCTGAAGGAGCTGCGGCTGGCTCTGGTACTGGAACTGGCCAATGGAGCCGACGGACTGGTTCATGGACGCGCGAGCACGGTGGCCAGGCTGGAAAGAATTACCTTGTTGTCCAAATCCGGTCCTCTGCTGATCCTGGTTCTGGTTCTGCGGTTGACGCCAGTTGCTGTCAAAGTTGCGAGACGAGGAGCGGGCGTGGCCCTGGGCACTGCCACGTCGTTGGTTCTCCGGCAAGGGACCAAGACCACTGTCAGGGAATTGGAATCCACCGGCACCACGACCGGAAAGAGAGCCGCGGTTGCCGCCGACTGCCATGGATTGACTACGGCCATGGCCACCGGCACGAAAGTTTCCAGCGCGCTGAAGTCCCAGACCCTGAGGGGCTTGCGAAGCACTCGGTGTCGACTTGCCGTCGGAGGTAGGGGTGTTCTCGTCATTACCACCAGCACTTGGGCCGGGGAACTGGAAGCCAGAGGCGGTCCTCTTCTGCTGGGCAAGTTCCGCAGCCTTCTTGGCCTCCGGCAGTGCCAGAGAATGACGACGCTGGTGGCCACCACCTGGGGGACCCCGGCCACGGCCGCCGTGACCTCCGCCCTCATTCCTCTGGTTGCCCTGCGGCTGCTGCTGCTGCTGCGGCGGCGGCTGCTGCGGCTGTTGCTGCTGCTGTTGGTTGAAGTCCGAATACCCAGAAGCACCCGATGACGGAGCTGGAGGCGGGCCCATGCCCAAACCAGGGAGTGCGGACTGATTGCGGCGGTGGGGGGATTGTGTGTTCACGGGCACACCCAGTTGCTGCTGAGCCAATTGCGGGAATTGAAAAGCGTTGAGCTGAGGGGACACGCCTCCGACAGAAGCATTGCCTTGGATGGAAGGAAAGGAACCGCCAACCTGGTTCAGCTGCTGGGGTTGTAGAAGGCCCATGTTAACATATTGTTGGTGTGTTGCAGCGATTTGTTGCTGCTGCTGCTGGAGTAGCTCGATCTGTTGCTGAATTGCCAATTGTTCCACTGCGATTTCCAAATATCGTCATTAGCCCTGTGAACTGACCACATGGTGACCGGAACGCTGCATGAGGGGTGCATCAGGAAAACGTACTCATGAGGGGAGTGAGCTCAGATGGACTTCTCCGGTGAGCAATATGGAGCTTGCGACCAGTGGGGCCGGGCACCCCGGATTGGCCTTGTTGATCCATGATCCCAGATGAAAGAACGAGTAGGCTAAATGACTGTAAAGCGGGTAATCACTGCGAGTGCAGAAGGACGAACGATGGTCAAGCGTGGTTGGGACGGACTCGTTTCAAAGTCGACTAACACACAGACCGACCGAGAATGATGTTGCAGGGAGAGGGATTCCAAAAAGGTGAGAGTTGTAGGACACTGAAGAGAAGCGAGAGATCAGTAAACGGAGGTATTGATCAACGATGTTAGCCAAAGGAATTGATGGGAGAGAAAAGAAGAGAGAGAAGGGAGGATTGAGGGGGAGAGAGAGAGAGGGAGAGAGGATGAAGAGAAAATCAAAGTGAGAGGGAAAGAAAGGAAAAGGAGAAAGAAAGTGGGAAGAAGACACGAGGAGGGGAAATCGCAGATTGATGATGATAGACCCAGGAAGCTGCGAGTGTCCGAGCGGAAGACATCACCCACGCAGAGCGGACAAGTACAGAAAGCAGGAAGGAGCAAAGAGCGATAGACTAACGTACCGGAAAATAACACACAGACTGGTGTTTGCTGTAGGCTTTTTTTTTTTTGGTAGGAATCCTTTTTGGTTGTGCTGTACAGAACGGGGGTTAAAGTAACGATTGCCCCTTTTCCTTTTTTTTTTTTGTCTTTTTCTTTTTATATGCAGGAAGCGGTAACGACTTGCAGGGAAATAACAAAAAGTGTACAAAATCAACGAACGCAGAAAACGAAAAACAGCAAAAGAGGGCTGGCAATAGCAGCCGGGCAGAGGAAGTATCTTTTCAAAGTCCTCTGGGGCAAAGAGAAAAGAGAGAAGGAGAGAGGGAAACAGACGTGAAGCTGTTCAATAATTGGAGAGGGGGCTTTTATTTGGCGGTGGAGGAGGGGAAAAGACAGTGGATGACCGGCAATAGAGCACTATCGCGACCACACTATAATTCAAAAAAAAAGGAATGGGGTCTTTCTTTTCTTCTTTTTCTTCTCTTCAACGGTTTCCCGGAGAGGTTGATCCTCAAGAGAGAATAACGGGTTGGGTGAGGATCGGACGATAAGTAGAGATCGTAATAGACCCACGGTATACGGGATGAGGCAAAAAAAGGCTATGCTTAATGAGCTGGCCTCTTTGGGACAGTGGCGGGGTGGAAAAAGACGAAAGGATGAACAGTTCGTTTCCCCCCGAGACTAGACGTTCTTCAGCTCCTTTTGGGAGACAGAAAGAGAATGACAGTTGAAACCAATCCGTGCACGACGAGTCAATGACGCTGGACGGGTTTGACCTAAGGAGCGGGGGAAGTATTCAAAAGAAAGAGAGATACAGAGAAGGGGGGTGGGGGGCAAGAAAAGAGGGAGATGAGGAGTCGAAGGAAAGAGGGAGAAGAAAGAGAAATCCTTCTTTTTCAATAATGAGAACAGAAGGAAAGAAAAGAGAGAAGAGGACCGAGAAGAGAGGTTGGTGGGTGTGGGGGAGAGAGACAGCGGAAGAGCATCATCACCATCATCGTCATATCAGCTAGCCTCGTTGGGTTGTCTTGGACTACCCCATAGTGGTAGTAACTGGTAATAGTAGGTTTCTAATTAATCTGTTACTGCGTTGTTCATCCCATTTACCTGCAATTCCTTTCCAAGCAACTAAAGCTATATAAAATGCAAAATGCTTTCTATTTCCAACCATCTCATACTTGATGTCTTGCTACAGGGACTCCGCCGTTGTCAACCTGGAGAACCCCTGAACGGGTGATGCGACCGCCCAATTTGCCATGCTCCACGTGATCATTTTCCACGACTACTCCATACAGACACTTTTTTGTACTCCATATAGCCATATCTACACCGTACTTTTACTCAAGAATGATCTCCGAGTGATGTTCATCATGATGCAAAATGCCTAAAACCATCCAAGCTTCTCACCTCCGTACCGAGGAACCGCCCGGTGCACTAGTCGACACGGGCGTACTGAGGTATGAGGTATGGTACTGTCTGTTACAGAACATGCGTTACAGTATGGTATATTACTAGATGTACCAGTACGTACCATGACAGAACACACTGACCGCCTCCATCATAGTACAGCTTAGTACGAGTCTCCAACGACAAACTCCAACTTCAGTGTCTTTGTTTACTGACAGCTTCTCTCTTTATCTTTGTCTATTGAGTGTACCGCTGGTACTCCTTCCTCTCTTTCCGATTGACAGACCCATGTGATGGTCTTAAAAGGTTTGTGTAGGGTTCCTAGATCCCCATGGCCCAGACTCTTAAAAGACTTTTCGCGCTTTTCCCTCCAAATTCGTACGCCTACATCCCGATAAAAAGAAAAAGAAAAAGAAGAAAAAAAAAAAAAAAAAAAAAAAAAAAATATCATCGAAGTCACCACCGCGAAACAAAAAAC